CTCCCGGGTTCAAAGGATTCTCCTGCCTCAGCCACCTGAGTAACTGAGATTACAGGCACCTACCATGCCTGGGTAATTTTTGTGGGTTTTTTTTAAATTTTATTTTTTAGTAGAGATGCAGTTTCGTTATTTTGGCCAGGCGGTCTCGAACTCCTGACTTCAGGTGATCCGCCACCTTGGCCTCTCAAAGTGCTGTGATTATAGGCATGAGCCACTGCCCCTGGCCCCATCCTTTTGTTAATTATGTTGTTACAATTTTGGTTTTCCATCAACCAGTACTATTGGGCAAAAATGTATTTGTGACTCTCCTGAGTTCCAAATGTATTTCTCTTTGCCCTCCTTTGCACAGCAAATATATTTTTATTTCTGGCAGATGAGGTCCATCATCAGACCCAGATTATTAACTGTGTTTTGTCTTTTTTTGGGGGGGAGGGGGTTGTATAACGAGCCCACAATGATGGGGATAAAATTTCAGTTTCCGTTTCAGAGGAACAGAATTATGACTATATTCCTGGTGGATACCCTCCTCCTTTAGGCAATGGACTTCTAAATTCACCAACTTCAATATTATGAAAATGAGAAGCAAATTGTGTTCTGTGGGTTATTGGTGTGGTAATAAAAGATAACACTACTACTTCCACCCCTTAGTGCCTTGATCTGTACCTCATGGCTATACAGGTGGGACACACTGCATGTGAAAGGATGACATCCTGGCTTCAAGGTTATTGCTAAACAAATAGTGCCAAAACTGAAGTAGAGTGGACTATTTTACTCCTCTATCAACCCAGGTACATATAGCTAGTGGGGAACATGATGAAATTAGTAAATACCACCACTGAGCCCATAGTGCTTTTTTGCCACAAAATATTTCCTTTTTTGAGATAATGTAATGTAGATTATTATGGTAACAGATAAATGTTTCTGTAAAGAGTAGTGCTGAACAGATCCGTTGGCAGCAAAAGCAAATCCACACCCAGAATATATGTGTATCTCTGTGATGACAAAATGCTACACTGTCTTGATGGAAAGGTTTTCATATAACTCATGTGCCTTCCTCATTACATTATCTCAAAAAAGGAAATATTTTGTGGCAGAAAATTCACGTGTCATCAGCTTTTCCCCTGAGAAATGATACTATGTCAGAGTCTCAGTGGTGGCCACTACCACTGGCAGGTAATAGTGGGAGCCGGAGGTTGATGGACATGTACTTCGCAGTCATCTTCTCCTGAATTTTTCCCCTTTCTAGTAAGTCGATTCACTTGTTTTTCCTAAACCTCCTTGTCACTAGTTTTCTAATTTTACTTTTTACCACATCCCTGATGGGTGGACCCTTATTAGTTATTGTGCCTGAGTCAGGACGCTTCCATGCCTGAAACTACGTCTCCTTCCACGAACAGTGGACAACTAAGTATTCCCTTCAAAATCTTACCAACTGGGAAGATTTCTGTTTATTATTGTCTTTCAGTGCCACTCCTGAGTCAGATTCTAATACAGAGCCTACCCAATTCCAGCTTGTTGTTGTACATCATGCAGACCTGCCATAAACCAGGACTGCGTTTATTTCTCCCTTGCCAACTCGTGTTAGAAAACATGCCTTGTGGCACAGATGTGAGATGAGGAGAGGGGATGAAGCAGAGAACGCAATACAATGGGCAGTCACATTTGTTTTCTGTCTCAATTTCACTGTTATTTTTTAGTGGAATGGTGTGTGTGTGTGTTCTATTCTATGGTCAGTGGGTCAGATAACATTTCATGATGGGCAGTTTTGGTTGCATACTCACTTGGTATCCTATGGTGAGGACAAATGTTTCTGCTGGAGCCCTGGAAAGAGCTGCTCTTGAAATAGATAATATTTTTCAATACAAGCGACAATGGTCTTTTTTCAAATCTTGTAGTGCCTGTCCTATGATTGTCATATGGAGCATCCCAGAGGCTCCACACAGCATCTCTATTTGCCATGGGCACTGACATTGCCATCGGATCTGCTGGAGTCACAAAGTTCTGGACATAGAGAAGGTTGCAACATGGCCTAGATCAGTTGCAGGGCCCCCTGGTACACGGATTCTACTCAGAACGAGCAGCTTTACAGCTTGTCTGGGATACAGAACAGAGAACATATGTCAATGCAGCTTATGTTGTTTTCAAAGTCCAAAGAATTCAATTCCTGTTTACTTTTGCATAAGTACAATCAACAATTTTTCTCTCACTTTAGAAGAGATAGCCCAGTGTATCCCAAACTACTAGATTTCTAGAAACATCCCCAGTGTTGCACACTTTTAAATTTTAAATAAATTTGTCTCCCATTCTCTACCTCTATGCAGAGGAGGTCTTGTTCCCTAGGATAGAGGTTGCCTCTGTCAGGAAGAAGATTTGTCAGAATTTTGATGTTCAGTGTCTTCAGCCATAAAATTAACCACATACAGCAGCACTCAACCATAATGTGTTGTTTATAAGATTGTCCCAGAAATCGTAACTATACTGTATACTTTTGTCCAAACATTCTTATCCTGTGTGTTGGGGTCCCAATCCATCTTTATGAATATCTTTGGCTTACCTTAAAAGAACAAATGGAGTTGAGCCTCTAATATGTATTGCAGCCCTGCAACCGTTCCTATGTTATCTTGGACTGTAGCCATAGTTTTCCTGCAACGACAGAAGAGACGGACTCTTCCAAAGATACCATCATGACCTTTTTTTCTGCACGGGCATTCCTAATTTCACAATCATGGTTTCAAGTTCTCTTTTTTCCTGTGTACTATCTCTGGGGTGTCAGAAGAACCGTGGAAACTTATCTCCTAATCTTTACAATCACCATTGTAAGTGTTCTAACACTTACTTGCTAAAACTAGAGATGTTGTGTGAAGCCTTTGCCACTCTCCATATGACAATCATAGGACAGGCATTACAAGATTTGAAAAAAGACCATTGTCACTTGTATTGAAAAACATTATCTATTTCAACAAGCACTTGCTCTCCCAATGCCATTTTCCTCTACCTATATTTTATTCCATGTCACCACCACTGATGATTGATTACTCACAATTCCATCTCTTGCTATGGATTGTCTGTGCTCCAATTCCCACCTGAGAAAGTGATAAATTCCATTTATACATATAGATAGAGAGATGACAAACGTAGTCTCAAAATCTAATTTTGAGGGCCTCTTCTGAGTCTGCTGCTGGTATTAACTTCTGTATCTGTCAGAGTCCCAAGTGTTGGCACATTCAACAAGATACTTTAAAGATAATTTATTTACAAAGCGAACATTTTATTATCTTTTTATTTACAAGGAGAGCATTTGTTAAGGTTAAGGGGTAGGAAAACCACAAAGGAAAGTGATGTAAACTAAACTAGTAGCAGCCAAATTGTTACCACTCCTATGACCATGAAGATAAGCCATTACCAGACACAGAAGGAGAAATTTGTGTAGACGTGGCTGCAGTGACACAAGTGGTGACATCATTTAAAGTTGACAGCCAGCCTGAGGTAACATTGTAGGATAGAGCCAAGAGAATAAATAACCTGACTTTACTCTCCTCTTTCTAATCTCCTGCTAAAGGGAAGCCAGAGGACATGGGGGCCCTTTTGATGTCATTCATATAGGTTAGCTCTCTGGACCAGAAAGTGGGAATCAAAAAAGTGGATAGTGGATCTTGAATTAAATGAAAGATACTTAGTATACTTCTTATTCCGTTTTCCTAGAGCTTAAAATAGTTTGATCCATCTAGTGGGCCCTCAATTTGGTTGATGATGATAGAATGCAAATATGATTGCATGCAAATATGAATGATTCATGACATGGATATGGTTTTAGGCCACATCTCACTCTTCAATCACTGTTCTCATTCTGATTACTCCAGTAGTGCTTTCATCTGTTCTGTCTACATTACTGAAAATCCATGAAATCCTGACTTCTTGCTTAATTGTTTCCTTCCTCTACAGTTGCTATTCCTGGAATTAAAAGGGTAACTCAGAATTGGAGAATTCTCAGAGAAGTTAATAAAATTCAATACACAGTCTAGAAAATGTAGGTGTATAATGGAGATTTCAAGGACAGATGTTTGTGGGTCACTGAGCCCACATCTCTACAGTTGGTCTCAAATAACACTCATTTATTCTAGAGGAACTCCTGCATTCTCACATCGCCCACTGGTGGTCACCAGATGGAGAAAGACTTGCCTTCCTGATGATAAATGACTCCTTGGTACCTACCATGGTTATCCCTCGGTTTACTGGAGCATTGTATCCCAAAGGAAAGCAGTATCCGTATCCTAAGGTAAGTAACGTGAAAGTGCTATTTTGTTCCTTCTCTCTCTGCACTAGTGACTTGACAGATGGTATTCTTGGTTCTTGAACAAGTTGTCTTTGGAGGAAAACAGAAGTTTTCCATACTTGTCAGACTCGTCATTTTTGAGCTCCCAATAGTCGATACACAGTGAAAGAGGTAGAGATGATTTGAAAGTGTGTGGACTTTCACTTTTGCTGCATTACTTTCCTGTTGATGCTTACTTTTATTTGTTCATACCTTGCAGCTGAAAGTGGGGAGAAAAGTGATTGGGGGTGTACTGATGTCAGGGCAATGTTTTCTCCAAGGCGTACCCCATAATAGTTGTTACAAGGGAGGGGAAAGTGTCATGGTCAAATACATTGGAATATCTTTTTAAAAAAATCTAGCCTCTTTCAGATGATTTCTTAGAGCACGTAATGTATTATATGTTAATGTATATTATAAATCTTCTACAAAAAATAGACTACACATAAAGAATCTCCAGTATGAAATAGATTAAGCATAAAGAATCTCAATAAAGAAAAGACCAAGCATGAAAAATCACCCATAAAGAATAGACTAAGCATAAAGCATTTATTAGTATTAGTATTAATATCAGCATTACCTTGGCAAAGCATACTCTAGAACACACTATATAAAATGCTGGTTGGAGTCATAACCATGGGTAGATAAGATAGATAGAATTTTTTATCAGATGAAGCAAATATGGCAATATGTTCCAGACAACAAAAGTATTTTCAAGTGTTGGGCAAGGCCTCTATAAGAAGGTTGTAAAAACATCTGGATTGTACTGTTTTTTCCTCTGTATGCCATCTTTAATTACTTCAGATCTCTTTTAAACCTGTATTTTTCCCAATGTTTATATAACGAAGAAGAAAGCTCATGAGGAAGGCTCCCAATACATTAATCATGTAAAGATGTCTTACAGGAAATAAGAGAGGATATTGATCTCATTTAGAAGTCATTTTTACGCCATTTCTTTAGTGAGTTGTACTTTGTTTTTTCAAGCACAATAGGTTTTCTACCTTTTAATTCATGCACTACATTAGTTGGACAAACTACAGGGCAGACTCCCATCACCCTCATTACTCTAGCCCTGTCAGGGTGGGGGTGAGGTAATTCACACTTTCCTTCTGTTCACACCATCCACCACATTCATTTTATCCAAGGGCAAAAAAAGGAGGCTTGAATATGGAGGATCAGAAATAAGTTGAGCATTTTCCTCAGTGAGATTTTACTGCCATTCTTTCTCATCCATCTTCCTTCCACAGGTTGTAATATTAAATGCAAGATTATGAAGAATATGAATCCATGATTTTAAAATGTTATTTTTAGGGTCTTCTCTGGACATAGATTAGAAGGCAGATATACTCAGTGTTTTTAGGATAACATAACGATTTAACTTCACAAAAAAATAATACTCACTAAGAGATTTTTATTATACTCAAAGAAGAGAACTTCTGCTTTCTCCAGTTATAGATTTAGTTTTTTTTTTTTTTTTTTTGGCATGACAGTTTGGGCCTATACAGCATATCAGCACTATATTTTCCCCCAGAGAAAACCTGAAAAGTTGCCCCAAATGTATTAATTCTCACATTTTTGATTTATGATAATAAATGTTCACCTGGCAATTTAAATGTGAAATGGTGAACCAGTGACATACTGTGAAACACACATTCAACTGTTCAGTGCACGGCACAAAGGCATAAAATAATATCCAGCTCCTCAGTGCACTGCACAAAAGGAACACAGTCATATCTGACTGCTCGATGCACTGCACAAAAGGAACACAGTCATATCTGACTGCTCGATGCACTGTACAAAAGGAACACAGTCACATCTGACTGCTCGATGCACTGCACAAAGAAAATTCAGTCAGTTCTGTGGAAGGGACAACTGTTTGTAACGGATTTCCCAAAAGAAATGGGATTTTTTTTTTTATTCACATAGAAAAAACATATGCATTAGCTGTATGCTCAAATTGCCTTCTTAGTTCTAAACTCACGGTGCTTGAACTTGGCCATACCTAGGCCTCATAATTTTGACTAGATTGAGACAAACACATGAGCCAATGGAAGCATTTGAGGAAGTTAAATTATGTCAGCAATAATTCAGAAGATACTGGATATGAACCTAGATACTTAATTATTTGATAATTTCTTCTAATAAATTAATATTGGTTAATAGTAAAGATAGGCATAACATAATAATGTTTGTTTATTAATTGTAGAAATCACATACGCTAGTGATAAACTTTATGTTTTCAGGGAGACTTTCCACTTGTTTGTTTTTTTCTCATTTGGTCTTTATCACAATTGTCACTATTTCACAAATGAGCAAATAGATTCTAAAAGACTTAGTGCTTTTATACAAGTCACAGTTGTTTTAAGAACAAAGAAAAAACTCAAATCTATTGATTTCATCCCTCTTTATGAAACTACCACAGGTCAACACTTTGTATTTCTAAAAACACAGCTGGAATCCAAACATCTCCTTGTCAAGTTAACACATATATATGGAGCTCTATTTGCTCCATTTTCTCCTAATGACTTAGCTACATATGGGTACCATTCTTAGCCTCACACCTGACATTTTATATATATGCAAATAATATATATAACTATATATGATAACTACTGTTAATATTCATTACCTGTCATTTTATATATATGCAAATAATATATATAACTGTATATGATAACTACCATTAATATTTATTAGAAAGAAGAAAGCATTTCTAGTTCTCAGGTGATTTTTAGTAGGAAGACCTGCTCCCCTACCAGGTACTTAAGACAATAGGACTCTAAGAAAATAATCTGTTTTGGTTCTTGTTCTTAAAAAAATTTTAGTATCATTTTGGGTATGTTACTTCAATTTTCAGAATTTTTATTATCTACTCTGGTTTCAAAAATTTTTTGTTAGTTTTTGCTGTAACAAATGTATTGTTTCAATTCACTCTTATGCAATAAAAACTTTCAAAAAATACTACTTTGAAAATTGAAACAACACAGAGTTTATACTAAATTGTGCTTTAAATTAAACTAGATCAAAAGGAGTATAGCAAATACTTAATGTGGTCAGATTTACTAATGAACTACAGTAAACACATATATTTGTATTTTACTTAATTCAGCATCATTCAGAACTCATAAAATACCCTATCATTAGCAATTCAGCACAAAAGAGATGCACGGTTCTATCCCAGTAACCTCAGGTTAATCTTTTTAATTAAAACATTATCTTGTTTAATGACAATTTAGTTGTCAGCAAAATAAGGTTAATTGTTATTGAGGCTTGTGTTTCAGAATCATAGAGGGAAGAAATTTGTGGATTTGCAGTCTTCATGGCAAATGTAACTGTAAAAAGCAAATAGATGAAAACCCTCTAATCTGCAAACTCTTGAAATGATTCAAATATTAAAATGTACAAATGAACTTGTGATGTGTGCTTAATTTCAAAACTCCATGGAAAGATACAAATCTGGGATTATAGAATGCTGGACTCTTGAATTTTGGAGGCAGCCTAACGCTTAGTTGAGATGTTCACATTTTGTCTGAAAACTGGCCACATATGTGCACAACTTCTACTTTGTGATAAGCTTATAGTGCTGCTGACATAAAGAAAACTGCCTTAAAGATGATAACTGATATATCTTTAACAAAGTGTGCCATAAAACTGCATCACTGGTAAGAATTCACAGAAAGATCTAATTTAATTTAATTTCCCATTTGCTTTAATCAGTGTATCGAATGATAAAAAATAGAAGCACAGCTTTTCACTAACTAGAAGATTTAGTATCTTAACAATAATTATCATTTTAATTCAGTACCATATCCTATTTTAGGCACTTTATATAAATCTTTTTATTAGTCTATAAGATATTCTTATCTACAGACAGGAAAGCTTCAACTCAAAATTTCTGATTTGTGACATATTCTCAAAGAACAGTTTGTCTCACTTTGGACAAAATGAGACGAATAAAATGATACTTGAGAATCTTTAGCATGTGCTCATAGCCATGCCAACTAAATAAAAGCGTCAACACTTGGACTCAGGTTTCACTGACTTACATATTAAGCTAAGCCCATTCTCAAAATGTGGTCCTTGATATCATAGGGTATCAGCTTCATGCTGGAGGTGGACTGGCTTCAGCAATCAGTATCTTAACAAGCCCCTCAGGAGCTCTGAATGATCGTGATGCTGGCTAACTTTTGACCACCACTGAACTGTTACATAGACAGATAGATAAATAGGTAAGGATACAGATAAAGATAAGTATTTTATTAAAATTTGCACACTGATTATCTGGCAATTTTGTTAAAACAAATTTATAGGCCTACACTGAGAGATTCTAATTCCATGTCTGAATATAGGTTTCAGGTGGGGTCCATGAATGCATTGCTAAGCTTCCAGGAGATGCTGATTGATGCTACAGTCCAAGAACAGCACTTTGAATGGCACTGCTATACTGTGTCAGGCTCTGAAGTGTAACATACCTGATCCAGCTAGATAAATGGTAGGCTAAAAATTAAATAGATAAGGCCATTATTTTCAGGGAGAAACATGACAACTAATTTAAAACAAGAATGATGTGAAAGGGAGCTCCTAAGAGTCACAGAAGGCTAAACTGCCCAAAAAATGTGCCCAGGCACTGTCGGGCTTGGGAACAATGAAAAGATTTGCAAATTCTGAGACCAGAGCCTTTGGTGGGTGGCAGGCTCATAGCTTACCTTCCAGGGAGCCCTTTACTCTATGAACCAGTTTCATAGTCTCTCTTAATAGTTACCTCATTTCCGTAGTGGAAATCTTTCCTGACTTCCTTCTTTGGCTCAAAACTTCTGACCTGTGAATGATACACTTCCACAGATGTGCTAGTCTCCTTGGATATCCTAATAAAACAACAGTTATTGAGGAACTCTTGCTGGCTATTGTTGGAATGTATTACGTTGATTCTGGTCCTGATTTAGCTATGGGTTTTGTCAATGCCAGTTCCTTAAACATGCATCTTCGTCATGTTTAAATCCGTTTTATCATTCCCTTTAGGTTTTTAGCAGATTTTAAAATTCAACTCACATTTAATTTCCTTTTTCTTTTCTATATATTTCTTTTTTTTTTTTTTTTTTTTTGAGACGGAGTCTCGGTCAGTCTCCCAGGCTGGAGTGCAGTGGCCGGATCTTAGCTCACTGCAAGCTCCGCCTCCCGGGTTCACGCCATTCTCCTGCCTCAGCCTCCCGAGTAGCTGGGACTACAGGCGCCCGCCACCTCGCCCGGCTAGTTTTTTGTATTTTTTAATAGAGACGGGGTTTCACCGTGTTAGCCAGGATGGTCTCGATCTCCCGACCTCGTGATCCGCCCATCTCGGCCTCCCAAAGTGCTGGGATTATAGTCTTGAGCCACCGCGCCCGGCTCTTTTCTATATATTTCATGTAGACTTCTTTAAGCATCAGCCACATCATAAAGATAATGGCATATTGTTTAGAAACATATTGAGCCACAAGTAATCAAGCAAGTTGGTACATCATTGATGTGATTATTCATTCATTCATTCAAACTGCTTGAGATATGTCGATGAAAGTTCTCATTCCTGCCCCTTACTCACAGTGTATTTGGCAAAATTTTGAAGGTCATTGTGTTGGAATGAACAGAAAGCACAATATTTGCATTGTAGTTAAGAACATCCTGGGTTTAAATATGAACTTTCTCAGTTTTAGGTATTTGACCTTGCACAGTTTGCTTAGATTCTCCATTGTGACCAAGAAAATGTTTATATCTTACGACTGTAGTAGGGACATTTAATTTAATAATTTGTGCAATGCCTTTAGTGTCTGCTATGTGCCAGAAACATACCAACTACTATGCCTGCTAGTTATTATTTATTTAATAAAGTGTTGATTCACTAAACTCAAAGTATATTATCCTTGCTATCCTTTCCTTTCTGCTCCTCATGCCAGGTACTCAGTGAGGGCAGTCTGCCCATGGCCCACCTTCCAAGGGTTGTCAATTATGCAAATGAGTCACCCCATGTAGTCATTAGTAATGTTTAAAAGAAAAGCCCGAGAGATTAATGTGATAGCCTACATTAGGCTTTTGGAATTTTAAGCATGGGGCACCTGGTTTGGGTAGGCTTCCTTCTTTCTTTCCTTTCTTTTTATCTTCATTTCTCCTTTTTTTTTTTTTTTTTTGATTAGTCAAACCTTCTTCCCATCGCAGTGCATATCCTCTAATGTGAGTAGCTATTTGATCTACTAGGGTTTTTTGTTGTTGTTGTTTTGTTTTTGTTTTTGTACAGCCAGCCCTTCTGGTGCCATTTTAGGGAAAGAACACAGTAGCACTGCCTAATGAGTGAAGTCATCACAATTTCCTATCACCTTTAATTGTCTGATGAAAATGCTTGAGAAGCAGCAATCTTCGAAAACAATTCAAAGCAATCATGTTGTCGAATTTAAAATCATTTATACTTCAGAGAAATTAAACATTTTTTTCTCTTCTAACACAAAACAGTAAATGAATCAAAAATCCTCTTCTTTTTTGCTCAATATATTCTAATGCTTAATATACTTGCAATACAACTTTCATTTTCTCAAAGGCAGGTCAAGTGAACCCAACAATAAAATTATATGTTGTAAACCTGTACGGACCAACTCACACTTTGGAACTCATGCCACCTGACAGCTTTAAATCAAGGTATGCAATTTCAATTTCACTTTTATGGGGAAATAGATATTTTCACTCCAATTATCATTTTGCTGCAATTTAGAGAGAGATGTGATCAGCTCAACAAATCCACTTGAAAATAGAGCTGAAGTTGCCTACATTAGTGAGGAATGAAGTCATTCTCGGTGTCTGGCTGTTCCCAAGAAGCATTTAGCTCCAAGGTGATTTTCAGCACCACACAATGACTGAAGAGCCTGATACTGAGAATTAGGCCTTTTGCTGGAGATGTGACAGAGATGGGAACAAAGGATCATTTTCCACTGTATTTTCTTCAAGAACATAGTTGCTCCACATGCTTTTTTGAAGGTGTTCGTTAAAAGTGTATAATCTCTCTGGAATTTGTGAGTTTTTCCAACTTTCTCCCCAGAGTTTTCCAAAGATTTTCAAGCTTTCTTCTCCAGACAGAGATATTTAATAATTTTTTTTCCAAATATCCTATGTATGAAGTATTTATATTTAAGAAACTTGATCAGGGAGAAAATAAACACATTTTATTGGGTCGGAGGCATAATTTTAATATTAATTTTAATAAACACATTTTATTGGGTCGGAGGCATAATTTTAATATTAATTTTAATAAACACATTTTATTGGGTCAGAGGCATAATTTAATAGCAAAATCTTCAGTAGTGAACAACTAATTAAACAATCATGTGTATTTTGAAATCCAGCATGGTTTCAGACTTCAAAAGTGATTCTTTCAAATACTAGAGTCCTTTGGAAATTTTTACAACCCTAGAGATGGGATAGGCAGCTGATTTAGAAAAATGTTTTCACATTATATTGAATGATGTAGGGCTAAGTTCAAAGTTTATTTGATGATATCGATAATCAGTTAGGGTGATTGGTTCCAACAGAAATTTCATTCAATTGTTGTTTCATTGACATTATTTAGAAAAAATGTCATCCCAGTTGGTCATTTTCACAGAGAGTGCAGCCTGATGTGTGTGGAAATTTTACCTACTTGAAAAGGTAATAAAGGTTTATGGAATGCTTACTCCGGAAGACCTTCATTACCTACCTAATACAAATGTCTCCTTCTACTGATGGAAAAGATAAGTCCCAGTGAGAGTAAATGATTGAGATAGAGGCTCAGGACTGATTGGTAAGAAAAGTAGAAAATGAAGTAAGGCCTCTTTCATCAAGTTGCAGAGCATTTCATCCAGATCGATGAAAGACCTTAAAGATAGGCCTGAATTGACATATAATGTAATAAACCTGACCAAATCAAATAGTAACATTTATTTCTGAGCTTGATCTAGCAGCCTTGAATGGTTACCTTACAAATGAAGCAGTGATAGATACTATTGACATTTTATCTGGTCCTTAACTCTCATCTTTTTCTCTGGTTTGTTTAATGCTACGGAATAACAAGAAAGGGAAATAGACTAGGAGTGTTTGAGTCGCCATTTCATTTATCTCATTGGATAAATCACTATACTTCTCTCAGGGCTGAATCCCCTTAGCTGGGACTACAGGTGTGTGCCACCACTCCTGGCTAATGTTTTGAATTTTTAGTAGAGATCGGGTTTCAACGTGTTAGACAGGATGGTCTCGATCTCTTGAACTCATGATGCGCCCGCCTCGGCCTCCCAAAATTCTGGGATTACAGGCGTGAGCCACCGTGACTGGCCCTGCTTGTCTTGAAATAATAATTTCTAATTTTTTTCCTTTCAAAAAAATTTTTGCAATGGGAATCAATTTTACAATATCCATGTTTCTTAAAAGGAGCTCTTGATTCCTGACCTTTTTTTTTTTTTTACCTGTTTGTATAAATATAAATATATATAAATTAAATTATTAATAACATACTTTCTTCATGTCCTATTAAGTTCATCAAATGTCCTCTCTTCTTTTTGATGTTTGTGTTGTGTTCATAGCGTAGCTACCTGTATAATTTGAAATATTGCCTAAACTCTCAATAGCAGAATATTTAAATAATTAATTCTTTTAATAATAATTTGCATGTTTATGGGTTTTTTGTATGTTACTTAAGCATCTGGTATATTTTTATAATCTTTAGGTTATCCGTGAGTTGGCAGTCAATAAGTGAATCATATTCTGTTTCTCACTACAGTTACAAACTATCATTTTTTCCTTTTCAGTTTCCTTTTCAGTACTTTTTTTCCCACCACCTAAACCGCAAATACAATAATCTCTTAGCTTTCATCTCTTAATAAAATCACCACAATGACTACAATAATAATATAAGGAGGAATAATAGTAAGATCAATATAGAAAGTTTTTTCATGATTTGCACTACCTTATAAACTGGATTCTCTGACCTCCACACTGGAGAACAACATTTTTTGTTGTTTGAATTGAAGATCTTAGGTTCTTTTTTTGGTCTGTTTGATTGTTTATTTGGATGATTGGTTTACTTATTTATAATAACTAGTGTTTATCCCTATAATAGAAAAAGTTCCCCAAGCTAGTATCATTATCATTGTCCCTTCAACCCAATACTTATACTCATCAAAGACTGTAAAATACATTTTAATTAATTTATATGATTTAAAAAGAAATTAAAAGGATAAGATAATCTATAGTAATGCATAATTTCTTCCCCTAATTATTTTCTTCATATTCTCTTCAATTGTTTTATTTATTTGTTTATTTATATCTGATTCAGCTGAAGTCATTTTACCAGTGTAGACAATGAGTGCAACTTTTCTTCAATAGTAATTCAGTTCAGACTCATCTCATCACCATTCAGTTTATCTTTATCTGAATCACAGCCTGTATTGATTCTGAAAAGAATGTAACATGGTAGAAACTAAGATAATGCCCCTTCTTGAATATCCCCAGAACCAGTGGGAGTTAGATGGGTTATCTCATCTTGGAAGGAAGAAACATTTTGCCAAATTGTTGTACTGTTCACTTAGGTATTGCAATCACTCAGTACCTTTATTAGAAAATTTAAGTGTGAATTTTAAAATATATATTTACTTTCCAGGGAAATTTTATCTTATGATAATGAATCATGAAGATTTTCCACAGATTGGATAAGTCACATTAATTTGGAGAAGTGATACATGGTCATTTGTGTAGACCTCTCTAGTCTGAAAAGTAAAAGTAATGATTCGTCCTTGGTTTCTTCTCACTCTATGTCTTTAGCGTTATTTTACTTATTAGAAACCTTTCTGTTGTCACCTATTTTTTGTGACCCATTGTTCTCAACCTGCATCACTGATTTAACATGGTCATTCTGCCCCTGTCACTCTGGGCTTGACACTGTCATGCTTTCTCTCCCTATTTCTTTAAGTATATCTAGCCTACATCTCTCAGTCTTCCAAGGAATATCTGTGCCTTCCAAGAAAATCTAATTAATAAATTAACCCATGTTCATGGAAGTGTCCTGAATAACCCTTCTTACAAGTAATGCATAGTTATTAACAGAGGTCTTTGGAGAACACTAGCTATAATTTGGTCATGAATACCATCACAATATACTTACGGGAAGACATCACAGATTATCGAGAAGAGAATGAGCCCAAAGTAACTACATTGCACGAATATTTTGGTGTAAACACAGAGCAATGATTGGACAGGAAGGCCGTGAAAACACGGAGTAACTGCTAACATACCTGTCTGCAGGTGATGCTGGGGCCTCCATTCCACATAACCTTGTGGACAATTAGATCTTCTGTGCCAGACCACCCAGCTGATAGAAAGTCTCTGTTGACTTGAGTGCAATCCCTCTAACTAGCTTGTCTCTGTCTCTGTGGCTCAAGAGGACCAGATCCTCGAGGACTTCCTGGGTAATCCAGAGCCATGGAGACTAGGAACAAGCAGGAAACCCAGTTATAAGAAAGGGACACTTCTGCTGGCCACTGGTCGTGGAACACCAGATCTAATGTGTTCATGAGATGGAGTTCCAGGAGGACAGCTACATCTGCAGCAGGCAGGCCAAGGAGTGTGGCATTTCCAGGTAAGGGTGCTTCCCTACTCCCTCATTCAGAGACAGCCTGAATACTTATGAGTAAGCATGATCAGTCAAGATGAATCACAGGGAGATGTACACCTAGCCTCCTGGGGCAAGGAAAGAAAGGATATAGGAAGTGATTTAGTGAATAGATATATCTTTCCTCCCTGCCTATGTGTCAAGCTCTACTTGAGCTTCCATTTTGGCTATCTCCAACACCTTAACATAGAAATTTCAGTGGTTTGAAATGGCCGTTTGTTTGACGTTACAAATTAAAATTTGTGGAAAGCCTTCATTCTTCAGATTGTGTTTACCTTGAATCTGAAGTTCATTCTTCAGATTGTGTCATTCTTGGGTATAAGCAAGGTTTATAATGAGGTATCTCACATCAGATTATGCTTTGCTTATGACCATAAGGCACATTATGTAAAAACAAACACAATAATCACAATATTTAATCAAAAAGGAATATAAGTGTATTGCTATAAATTAATGATTTTCAACTTAACAATTTACAACTAAGTTAGTGTTCCCTTAAAAATCAGTTATTCTCCACATTTGTACTGGTTGACTTTTTCATTCTTTTCCAAAGATTAAGTTTTGTTTTTTTAAGTCAAAATTTGGCATCTTAGCTAGTCAATATATTCTGTCATGCCTGTGAGGTGTTGCAAAGATGTTCTTGAACATTTCATTTGAGACCAACTTTGAAAAGGAAAGCTCTCAAGATGAATAAATTGTTCTGTTGTTGTTGGTATTTATTTTTAAAATTATTCCTGTTAGTTTGTTACCTCATATTGCACAAAATATAATATTATGGCAGGTAATTGAGACAAATTTCTGATTAGATTAGAAAATCAACTGTATATCAGTTCAATCTAAATTTCTACCAGAAAATATGACCTTCTTGATTTTGCAGTCTTTGGTTAGTTGTTTACAATATTCAAATTAATTTTTTACTTCAAATTTCTACAACATTTATATCAATTATTCAGCATTTCAGCACTTATTTTCTGATTATTTATAGTACTTACTCTCATTTTTCTATAAGCTAAATTCTCTAGAAAAATCTATTAAAGGTTAATACTTCATTTTCTACTTTTTAATATTCACATTGCTAAATATAATGGTGTATGCAAAATAATCGGCTTAAACGAAACACAGTGAAAGTGAACAGGACACTATTCTTTGCAGGATCACAAGGCCTATTGATATGGACAAAGATTATACCTAAGCCAGCTGCATATTTGATTCAATGTTGCCTTATTAACTCTTCTTAGGGCACTTCATGTTTTGATTTTACTGAGTTTAAAGGCAGTTTTCAGGCAGAGCTCAGCTAGTTGTGAAAGCTGCCAGATGTCTTGAAGAGATTGTTGAAAAAAATATGGCAGCCTTCCCTGTATGTCAAGTTATGCTTGCCCTTTTACTGACATCTTCACTTTGATAGGCTAACAAGTTTTCTAGAGGAAGCAGTAGCTACTCGGTAATGTTAGATATGTAGCATTCATGTAGTTGGATATCTATCCCAGATACCTCTAAAGACAGGCAATTTGTATCAAGACATTATTTTTTTGTAGCTGATATTTTTTTAAGTCATATAAAACTAGGCTAATTAACTGTGGGTGGTTTTTTGGTTTTTTGTTTGTTTGTTTGTTTGTTTTTGAGACAGAGTCTTGTTCTGTTGCTCAGGCTATAGGGCAGTGGCACGATCTCGGCTCACTGCAACCTCCGCCTCCCGGGTTCAAGTGATTCTCCTGCTTCAGCCTCCCGAGTAGCTGGGATTACAGGGGTGTGCCACAACACCCGGCTAATTTTTTGTATTTTTAATAGAGACGGGGTTTTACCATGTTAGTCAGCATGGTCTCGACCTGCTGACCTCATGATCCTCCCGCCTCAGCCTCCCAAAGTGCTGGGATTATAGGCATAAGCCACCGTGCCTAGCCAAATCTAGATTAATTAGTTTTAATACAGTGCATTGATGACACTTTCCGTGACACATGGGTGGCTATTTCTTCCGAGATCAGATGATATCGGGCATGTTCATGGTGGTATGGCTATAGACTGGATGGCTATTTCTAAAGTAACTGATCTGTTCTGAAACTGGGCAAGTTTTTAGAAAAGTTTTTTGTAATTTTTATCATAAATGGATGAGTATTGATGATTGCATTTTGTTGCGTGTGAGTTGGAAGCTTTGTGACATATTATATACACGTCCAAATGTATGTGTTACAAAGGAAATATAAACTGTTTCCAATTACCAATTACCATGAGAACATAATTGGCCCCATGAATTATATCCTTATTATACCAAGAATTTAATAGACTCTCATGTTCTTTAATTTGATTCATTCCTTGTTTAAAAATGTTTCAAATAAATAAGATAATTAACAATATGGAAAAAAATATTATGTATTAAAAATTGGGACTGGTCCTTGGTCTACAACTGGCAAAGACCAAAACAAACCATTAATACCTTAGTAGCCAAAGTCCCCATGTATAAAGTGAAATAACACAGAGGTTATGTAAAAGATAATTATTAAGCCAGGAATAATCTTTGCCTTTTAATTGGAAAAGATTATTCTTGATGATTCACTGATTGTGATTTTAAAGAAAAAAATAACATAACTTTATAAATGTATACTTATTTTGCATGTAAAGGAGTACTAATCAATAGAAAATTTTCATAAATATCTAGCATGTGATTGTTTTGATTTTTCCAAGAAATACTTTTCTGGGAAATAATTCACTCTCAAATTTTTTTTCAAATTATCTGTATATTTGTATACGTATGTATACGTCCATGTGAATACATACATACACATATATTTGTATTTATGTAAATTTTGAAAAGAATAATTGCTATTTATCTATCTATACATAAATTAATATGAAGCAACATCCTTAGAGTAGTTCAGTTATTCTTATGTATAAAATGGCAAACGTATATTGTTGGTACTATATCAATGCCCTGGCTCTAAACATATGTTTTAATTTTGTTTCCAAACTAGAGAATACTATATCACTATGGTTAAATGGGTAAGCAATACCAAGACTGTGGTAAGATGGTTAAACCGACCTCAGAATATCTCCATCCTCACGGTCTGTGAGACCACTACTGGTGCTTGTAGTAAAGTGAGTATAATTTACTTTTCTTTTACGCCTAAAATGAAGTAGCTTATGCAGCTTTACAAAGGGGAATCAGAAAATGCTTTGTACAAAGAATTCAGTGTTTAACTTTTAAAACTAGTAGGAAAAGAATTACTCTATTGAGAATATATACTTTAATTTATAAAGCTTCCAAACTTTGAAGTGAACAGTATTGATGATAAGCAGAAAAGAACAAACTGAGCTTTTAAAAACCAAATTAATTTTTATACAGCATGAAGTATAATCCAAGCCATGTTAGCTTCTTTCTCAGATATGGAATTTTTCTCCATATTTTGTCTTTGATTATCTTGAGAATATAAGAAGTTTCCTTCCTATCTTCTTTAAACATATTCCTTTTAATTTTTTCTGCAGTTCGGATAGATCTAATAAAATAACAGTGTTTCTGTCCCATAATTAAGTAAAACAAGTAAAAATATTAGTTCACAAACCACTCTTTTAAAATCATGTTACATTTCAATTCCTAATATCAGTTTTTATAAACTCTGTAGTAAATTCAGTGTATCATTTTTAAGATTCCTGGTAGAGAAAATATTGCAATAAGTTTAAATGGTTATGTGTATGGTATTTGGGTAAAGGATTTTTAGATTAACAACTGAATTTTCAAAATTCTGTTCTGGAAAAGATGTAGTAAATGTTACCTGACTAGTTTTTCTGTTGTAAACAACTGTAAAATTGTACAAAATATGCAAAACAGCTGTTTTCAGATATGGGACATTAGGAGGATCATGACCATAAATGCTGAAATCAAGTAAACGCACAAAATCAACCTTGCTATGACTTTCTATTCACAACACTTTTGAGACCAAATGGCAAGGAGATGGAGCCCAAGCAGAGCAAAAAGATCTTTATGATCTAAGTAGACAGGGAGAATCAGAGTTTGAGGTTTTTTGATGACTAGCATTTACAGGACAGGGACCAGAGAAGTTGGAGCTATATAGAAAAGGACTCCAGCAATCTATGAAGAGTACCCCTTAAGTATTAGGCTCAATGCTTAGCTGTGCATACATATATGCTTCCATGTTGTCTTAAAGAAAACAACCACTAAAAATTTTTGAAGCAAATGAAGAATCTGCAAGTTGCAAAGTACTTAGGGACGTTAGAGTTCTGAACAACAATAGTGAAGAGATCTCCCTGAAAACCCCGGGTATTCAACTGAGAACCCAGAAAGAAAGAGCATTAAAAGTAGGGCTATTCTAGACACCTTCTAATCACCTTTCAATTATACTGTAAGGTATCAAGTTCATCTGTCTGTAAATTAACTGTCTACTAGGACAAAGTTTACATTTTTAAAGGGAAAATTACAATTAATAAAGACTATCAACAATGTAGCATTTATAATGTCAATCATATGATCAATACTATATATGTAGAAAAGTGAAAAATATAACCTACTCCCCTTCCTCAAAAATATCCAGTAAAAGCTGACCTACAAAGGATAGTAATATTGGAATTAGCAGACACATAATGTTTTAAAAGTTATTAGAAATGATAAATGTTTGAAGTGATGGATATCTTAAATACACTGATTTGATTATTGCACCTTGTATACACATATCAAAATATCACATGTACTCCAAAATATGTATGATTATTATGTACTAATAAAAATTAAAAATTAAGGTATAAGTAAAGTACTATGAAGAGAAGAAATCTCATGTGTGCAGTTAAATGAGTTTTGGCAAATGGATATATCCCATAATTCACATCTCATCATAATGTAAAACATCCCTATTATCCCAGAAAGCTTGTTTGTCCTCTTTTCCAATTAATATCAGTTCCCAAAGGCAACTAATATTCTTATGTCTATTATAAATTGGTTTTGCATGTTTTTAAATTTCATATAAATTCACTTATACAATCACAAAGTTATTAGAAATAAATCTAACAACTTACAAAGGAGAATAGCTCCAATAAATAAACAGATGAGAAATTTTAGTAGAGAAATACAAACTTTAAAATGAAAATAAAATTTCAGGAACTGAAAAATACGATATTTGAAATGAAAACATTGAATAGACAATTCAGAAATAAATACGTATGTTTATAGTGAACTGATTTCCAACAAATGCATCAGAACACGTATCAGGGAAAGGACAGCCTCTTTAGTAAATATTGCTGGGAAACTGGATGTCAATGTGTGGAAAGATGAAACTAGATTTGTATCTCTCACCATATATACAAAATTCAACTAAAAATAAAAACTAAACCATAATTTCCAAAACTATAAAACTACGAGAAGAAAAAGAGAAAATGCTTATGGACATTGGTCTAGGCAAAGATTTTATGGCTAAGACTTCAAAAGCACAGACAAAAAGAAATGTAAATTGGTACAGCTATTATGGAAAACAGTATGGAGGTTTCTCAAAAAACTAAAAATATAATTAACATATGTTAGTAGCAATTCTACTACTGGGCATTTATCAGAAACAAAGGAAATTAGTATATCAAATACATACCTACATCTGATGTTTACTGCAGCTGTGCTCATAATAGTCAGGATGTAGAATCAACCTAAATGTTCATCAATAAATGAATATAGTTTTTAAAAATTATATATGTATGCTTTTTTAAAAAGTGTGTGTGTGTATATATAGTATACATACATAAAACATTCCACTGTACATATACAATGGAATACTATTCAGCCATAAAAAAGCATGAAATTCTGTCATTCATGGCAACATGGATAAGTCTGGAGGACATTACGTTAACTGAGATAAGCGAGTCAACACAAAGATAAATATTACATGTTCTTACGTCTATCTGGTAGCTAAAAGAAATTAAGGTTATAGAAGTAGAGGGTAGAATTGTGTTTATTAGAGTCTGAAAAGCTTGGGCGGAAAGGATAGAGAGTAGTTAGTTAACAGATACAACATCACAGCCATGTAAGAGGATTGAGTTCTAGTGTTCTGAAGCACTGAAGGTTGAATGTGGTTAATGATTTAGTGTATATTTTCAAATAGCTAGAAAAGAGAATGTTGAATATTTAGAACACATAAAAAATGATAAATGTTTGAGGTAATGGATATATTAGTTATCCTGACTTTGTCATTACACATATTTTACATGTATCAAAATAGCACTCTGTATTTATAAACATATACAATAATTACATGTCAACTAAAAGGAAAATACATCACCAAAGTGAATGTATGAAAAGGAAGAATACTTGAATAATTTTACATCAATTAAGATAAAAAATAAAGAATGAATTAAAGATAAATTTATTTAGTAAATTAAATAAATTTAATTCATAATTAGAAACCTTGCCACAAAGAAAACTCTAGAAGCGGGTGTATTCATTGATGGATTCTGTCAATTATTAAGGAATAAATCCTATAATTCCTTGTCTTCATTTGTTTTGTGCTGCCATCACAACCTACCACAGGCTGGGTAGTTTATAATGAACAGAAATTTATTGGCTTGCAGTTTTGGAGGCTGGGAAATTCAAGGTCAAGAGGTTGGCATCTGGTGAGGGACTTCTTGCTGCATCATCCCATGACAGAAGGGCAAAGAGAGGGTGAGAGAGAGAGAAACAAAAGGAGGCTGAACTTGTCCTTTTATAAGGAGCCCACTCCTGTGATTACAAACCTACTCCCATAATAAAGGCATTAATCCATTAATGATGGCAGAACCCTCATGGCCTAAATACCCCTTAAGATTCCACCTCTTAATACTGTTGCAATCACACAATCACAATTACATTTTAACATGATTCGGGAGTGGGCAGCAAATGTTCAGACACTATAACATTCTTACTAAGGAGTATATGATAGCATCCCTATACTGCTTAGAAAGTGAAGAAGAAAGATAACATTTCAACTAATATTATAAGAGTAGAATAATACTGATACCACAACTAGACAAGAAAAATACAAGAGATGACATTTTAGACTGATCTCTCTCATTAACACATGTAGTAGTCTGTTTTCATGCTGCTAATAAAGACATACCCGAGACTGCACCATTTCCAAAAAAAATAAATAAATAATAAGGTTTATTGGACTTACAGTTCTGCATGTCTGGGGAGGCCTCACAGTCATGGCAGAGGGCAAGGAGGAACAAGCCACATCTTACGTGGATGGCAGGAGGCAAAGACAGAGCTTGTGCAGGGAAACTCTCACTGCAAAATCATCAGATCTCGTGAGACTCATTCACTATCACGAGAACAGCAAAGGAAAGACTCGCCCCCATAATTCAATCACCTCCCACCAGGTTTCTCCCACAACACATGGGAATTGTGAGAGTTACAATTCAAGATGTGATTTGGGTGGGACATAGTCAAATCATATCAACACAAATATGAGAAAATCTTTAAACATATCAATACTCAATTCCAGCAATATAAATAGAGGATAGTGCATTATGATCAAATGAGGTTAATCCCAGGAATTTAAGGTTGGTTTAATATTGAAAACCAATCAATATAATTTATTATATTAAGAAAAAAGAATTAAATATCTTGGTAGATGAAGAAAAAGCAATTGATAATATTCAAAACCAGTTCATGATAACTTTCAACATAAATGAATAAGAAGAGACATCCCCAATCCGTTAAAAGATACTCATAAAGTACCCCCTTACTGAATGTGCAAACACTAACCTTATTCATGTTAAGATTAGCAGTGAAGTAAGGGTATCCATTCTCAGTACTGTGATGCAAACTTTTCCAGAGGCCCCACTTAGCAAGGAATCAGGATAGTGTTAGGAAAGGAAGAAGTAAATCTGTATTTACAGATAACAAAATTGTGTACATTAAAAAAAAAGCCTACAAAAAATCCTAGAATACAAAATCACAATGTGTAAGGAAGCAAATGGGGTAAAATATAAACAAGTGGCAGGTAATTCCAGAGGGTATTCAGGTTTCTCAAACCAGTATTCTAACTTGTCTATGAGTTTGTACTTGTTTCAAAATAAAGAATGAAGAAACAACAAAAATTCTATACGTTAGTGACATTAAGTAAAAAAGTCAGTTAAAATACCATTAAAACCCTTAAAACTTTAAATACACAATTATAAACTTAACAAATATTGTGAAATGCCCCAATACTGAATACTGCAATGTTGCTAAAAGGCATCTGAAAGACCTACATAAATGGAAGCTATTCCATGTTTTTAAATAGAAAAGATTAATATTATTAAGATATTAATTCTACCCAAATTTAACCATAATTTTAATATAAAACCAATTAAAGTCCCTTCTGATTTTTTTGTCAGAACAGGCAAGCTGTTTTTAAAATTAGTATGGAAACAAAAAAATACCTGAACAAGTCAAAGCAATCCTGTAAAAGAATAAAATTGAAGGAGTTAGCCCTACCTGATTTCAAGAATAAATGAAAAGCTGCAAAAACCTGGAGATGCTAGTGGAGGCATAAGGACCACAAATAGGTCAACTAAATTGAATGGTTTCCAGAGAATAAACCCACATTTATATGATTGATTGATTGTCTACACAGGTGCTAAGGCAGTTCGATGGAGAAAAATCGTGCTGAAATAATTGACATCCCTATTGGATTAAAACAAAAATGATATTTGACATCTCATATAATATTCTAAAATCAATTTGGGATAAATCATAGCCCTAAATTTAAGAGCTAATACTGTCAGTGTTCTAGGGGAAAATATGAAATAAAACCTTACTATACTGAATAAGCCAAAAAATCATTAATTATGAAATAATAAATTGGACATCAATAAAATTAGAAACTTCTCATGAAAGACACCATTAAGGAAATGGATCTGCAAACTACAGTCTGGGAGAAAATATTTTGCAAAATGTGTATCAGACAAAAACACATATAAAGAAATTCTATAACTCAATAACAAAAATACAGCCTCATAAAAACATCAAAACATGTGAAGAGTTACTTATAAGGAAGAGAATGAACACATGAAAAAGTACTCAACATTTGGCGAGGCATAGTGGCTTATCCTTGTAATTTTAGTAATTTGGGAAGCTGATGTGAGAGAATCTTTTGAGGGCAAGAGTTCAAGACCAGCCTGGACAACAAAATGAGATCCCATTACTATGTACAAAATTAAAAAATAAGAAATAAAAGTACACAACTTCATTAGACATTAGCAAAATATAGATTAAAATTTTAACAATATAATACTACACATCATTAGAATGACTACACTAAAATCTCAAAAACCTGACCACATTAACTGTTAAAGAGGACGTGAAGAACAACAATTCTCATTCTTTGCAGGTGGGGATGTAAAATGATACTATTACATTAAAATAATATTTTAGTTCCCAATGAAGTTAAACATATATGTAAATACAATTTTTTGTGTATATATGAATTAGACACACATATATATACACACACACACATATATAAAAACATACATTATAGGTCGGGTATGGTGGCTCATGCCTGTAATCCCAGCACTTTGGGAGGCTGAGGCATGCAGATCACCTGAGGTTGGGAGTTCGAGACCAGCCTAACTAACATGGAGAAACCCTGTCCCTACTAAAAACACAAAATTAACCCGGCATGTTGGTGCATGCCTGTAATCCCAGCTACTTGGTAGGCTGAGGCAGCAGAATTGCTTGAACCTGGGAGGTGGAGGTTGCTGTGAGCCGAGATCATGCCATTGCACTCCAGTCTGGGCAACAACATTGAAACTCTGTCACAAAAAAAATACAAAAAACAAACAAACAAACAAAAACGCATACATTATAATTCCATTATAAAGTATTTGCGCACGAAATGAAAACTTGTGTCCACCAAAGGATTTGTGAAAAATAGCCTGTAGAGAAGCTTTATTTACAATAGCTAAAAAGTGGAGACTATTTAATTGTCCACTAACAGGGAACAGACTTTAACGTAAGGCATAGCTACACAATGGAATTCTACTTGGCAGTAGAGACAAAATACTGATATACTCAACAACATGAGTGAATCTCAAAAACGTGTGGTGTGAAAGAAACCTCACACTACAGAGTACATAATATGTATTTAATGCATGATTTTGATTATGTGAATTTCTAACACAGGCATATGCTGTCTCTGGGGAAAAAGATCAGACGTGATTGCCTTTTGAGAACCCCTGGGGAGGAGCATGAGATAATGTTTTGGGGAGAAATAAAGATCCTATAACTTGATGGGATCAATTTGTCAAACTCATCACATGATATACTTCAAATCTGTGCAATTCACTATAGGTGAAAACTTTAAAACATATTATTTAAATGGTCTATGAAGGAAAGACCTCCAGAGGCTGACTTTTCTCTGAGTAGAATGATGAGCATAGTCGTGGAAATGACATAGTTAAATCAACCATTTGATGCTCTTCTCATTAGGCTTGTATTATTAGAAAATTTGTCTCTTTCTTTTGACTATATTATAGATTGACTGGGATTTCTCCACGTATTTGTTAAAGTGTTCTGGCTGGTTTCTTATTTGGCTGATTAGTAAGTCATTTAAAAACTGGCCTAGAGGCCAGCTGTGGTGACTCATGCCTGTAATCCCCACACTTTGGGAGGCCAACGTGGTCAGATCACCTGAGGCCAGGAGTTTGAGACCAGCCTGGCCAACATGGTGAAACCCTGTCTCTACTAAAACTACAAAAATTCGCCAGGCATGGTGGTGCACACCTGTAATATCAGCTACTCAGGAGGCTGAGGCGGGAGAATTGCTTGAATTTGGGAGGCAGAGGTTGCAGTGAGCCAAGATAGGGCCACTACACTCCAGCCTGGGCAACAAAGAAAGACTTTGTCTTAAAAAAAAAAAAAAAAAGAAGACACAGGCCAGGCATGGATAGCTCACACCTGTTATTCCAATATTTTGTGAGGCCAAGTGGGGAGAATGGCTTGAGGCTAAGAGTTCGAGACCTACCTGGGCAACATAATGAGACACCATCTTGATTTTTACATAAAAAATTAAAGTAAAAATTTAAAAATCAGTCTACATATATTGTAGTTAATTAGAGAAAGCCCTTCTAGATAAAGATATTGTAAATATTTTCATTGCATACAGATAACTGCAAAGATAAATTAAAATGCTTCAATAGAAAACAGATACAGTAATCCTATCATACTATTGATTTGACACCTTATTGATATTGTAATATATTTTACTCTATGTATGGAGTTTAAAAAACTTGCATTATGTTAATTGAAATAATGAGACAAACAATAACACATGAAGTTTTGGGCTCTCATGGGTTCTACCAAAACTTAAAGGTACTAACAAGCAGTGGCATTGGTGTCTATTTTATTTCTGTGCTTTATAGATATCAATAATGGTTATTGCTAGGGTGTAAATGGAGAATAAAGAAATTATTCAGTTAGATTTTTTTTGATATCTTCACGTAATGAAGATCTATTGAAAAAAATGCCCTGAAAATAGAAAGTGATTAATTATAATGTAATCATAATATGAATTTAGAAAAAGAAATTAGTATTTTAAAACCTATAAATAATGTATTATTAACAATTTGAGATGGGTACCTCTGCATATAGGAAAATCCCTAATATATTGTTACTTATCTTTCTTAATTCAAATAGTTTTATTATAGAATCATTTCTTTCAGGAAACTACAAGATATTTCATGTCATTACATGTAAACGGTGTTTCTAAAGCTTGTTTTTTGTACACATATTTAACTTGAGGCTAAATTAGTCTAATTTTGCTTTTTGTAAGAGCCAAAAGTCTTCGGCTCTGTTTTGAAGGGCCACATAATTTTGTCATTTCAAATGTTTCATATTTTCCTCAAAGACTGAGTTACTACTGATAAGAAAAAAAGAAGGCCATGATTATGAGTGAATTGAATATTGAAAGAATGTCTACTTTTTAATTTTATGCTTGGCTGTTTGCCCAGTTGCTTTGAAGGACTTAATAATTTTGTCTCCCAATGATGCCTAGAGGTGAAAAGAAATAGTGTCTGGTGGTTCAAAACAGTTTGAATGAGGTAATCAAACAGAGCTGGAAAATGATCTTCTATCCCTGGTGAGGTACTGCTGGGAATTCTGAAAGAGTTCACCAAAGAAAAGACTTTATAATTAAATTATCATTTAGTCCCTATTCTCTACTTACTCATTCAGATTAAATCAATAATGACAATGAAATCTCTCATGGTATTTCACCAGTTGAAGAGAGGTAAAAAAAAAAAAAAAAACCTGATGATCACTGTGTTTTTAAAAAGTTGAATTTATATATGCTCATTTTGGTCTTTAGATGCTTCATGGAGTTACTTGTTTCGTTTCAGAAATATGAGATGACATCAGATACGTGGCTCTCTAAGCAGGTACAGTATAGGTGGTCTGTCACATCTTGGCCATTGTGACCATCCTGTTTACCCATTTCTTATGTGATAACTTTCTGTGAAAAGTACGAGTTTAAGGCTTTGCTAGGTTTGACAGAGTGATCCTTTAAAGGATCACTTATCACTTGGGCTTTATATGGCATCATTTGTGAAAAGGTTACTTCCATTTTTTTATGAGACATAAATTGCAGAATAACTGCCAGGATCACTTTTTAAATTATTTTGGGTAAGTACACTTTTGTGTAGATGAAGGAGAAAAACTCAGGACCTAGCCAAACTGGACATCATTAGCATTGTTCAAATTGTCTGAAAAATTGACCCGACCTTTACATAAATTGATCATGGAGATTATTCAAATAAATACTTCTCTTCTTAGTTGTATTCTGGCTCACAATTCTAGTTTGTGACATAAATGAGGCTGGAATCAAGATGAACATAATGGACTAAAAACCTAATCACCGTTACATGGTCTCATCCTGGACAATTCAGAAGGAAACATAAAGAGCTTATTTAAATATAGCTGAATTCATTTTACTCTTAACTCCATTACTGAGTTTTTACAAAGGGAAATAATATGTGTGGTATGGTTTGGTTTGGTTTTCTTTTTGTTCTTTAAAGCCCTCTTTTATTTTATATTCTGTCTGTGGTGTTAATGACCACCCATCCATATTTTGAGACCTTCACATTTATCCAGACACTTCAGTGAGTTCTGAAATATCCAAATTTATGCTTGCCATCTCCTCCTAAATCTGTAAAAGTAGCTTCACACTCCCCAGGTCTGAACTGAACTCATTCCTTTTCTAGTCAGTCTTACTTATTTTTATCATAGGAGTCAATGACATAATTATCCATGCGGATCTTAAAACTATTTATCTAATAGGCATCCTTGGATATGTTCTCATTTTTATCTATATATGATTAATACGTACAGATTTTACTTTCAAACATCTCTCAAGTCAATTTACTTTCCTCTAATTCACAAGCACTGTCCATGTTCAAACTACAGATCCAGCATGTCTCAACCCCCCAGGCACCTGCCAATCTGTTCACATTGCAGGCTGACTGAGTGACCTTTTTAAAATATGTATTTAATTGTTGCTACTAACATTCCCCTCATACTTGCACTTCCACAACTCAAAGAACTTTTCTCTCTTCTTTCTGTCCTTCAGATAAAAACTAACATCCTTAAAAGGTCCACAAGTGATGAAAGTGAAAACTTTTTCAGCTCTGTGTCATAGAATCATTTTACCTGTTTTCTCCAGTCTAGCTACATGGACCCTCATATGCACAGGGACTTCATGAGTGGCCTTCCTTCTGAACAAAATTCCCTCAAACTTCCTTATTCGAAGCCTATTTATTTTTCAAACCTTGGCTTAAATCGCCTACATAAGAAGTCACTTCCTCTAACTAGACTAACCAAATCACATCTCCCAATAAAAGTTATATTAAAGTCAAGTGTAATCTTTGTGTAACACTTACACAATTATTGTTATGATTTTTTTTTTTAACTAAGATACAAGGGCGTGAGGATGTTTATTTTTTGCTCCTAATTGTCAATCAAATGCCTAGTATAGAATTCGATATGTAAGAAGAGCTCAATAGATAGTAACTGAATGATTAAGAACAAAAGTAAAAAGGATTATAAATAATAGTTTGTCTGAAGGGTAGGTAGATGGATAGACACAAATTCATGCTTGTATATATATTATGAGTATATGTGTCTTTATACATGATTATCTATTAATATAAATACTTTTACCTTGGTCAATATACAAAATAAAATAGAAAAAAAAAACCTGATTTTACAGCCAATAATAGACTCGCAAATTTCAATTAGATATAGAAAATAAGAACAATGAAAAATATATAACACATAATACTGATGCATTCTGAATTTCCCTCCATTCTTAAACATCTTTTGCTGTTACTTTTATTGCCAGTGACATTCATAATAGTTTAACATATGTTAACATAATGCATGTTCTTTAGAGATTATGCTATCTAATTTTTAAATCCCAAATTTATGAATGTTTAATAGAAACTTTTTTTAAAAAAGCAAAGCATCCAGTTATTATTCAGTTAGTAAATGCCGTTGGTCATTTTTCACAGTTGATTTTTTTCTTCAGAAGCTCTAAGAGAATTTTATGAAATACTTAAGAGTTATATGAAATTTAATGGATGAGCATGGTAGCAGTAATAAGAAGCAGCAAATTTCGAAGATAATTATACATTTAATAGAATCATCATATACTCTTTTTGCATAGTAGATAAGGCAAAGAGAAGTAGGCATGCTTAGCCTAGCTTTCAAGGGACATGCAGTTGGGATGACCACTGTATGATAGATTTGGTCAAGGGATAGAGTCCAATATCCCCAGTTCACCATCTTGTGTGTCAAAAACACTGACTTGTATAATGTCATGAAACTGAGCAGTGAGATTGACACCACCTGTATGGAACTGAATGTTTATCACCAGACATTGTCAAGTGTGGGGAGCAGATTTTTTAGTCCAGCAAGGCGTTTGAGATTGTAGCCCTCATCTATTCCTGTTCTGAACTACTTCTAAGGTACTAGAACTGGGAAGAAGGCAATGTAAATGGGAGAATGCTCATATATCCGTATATGAGAAAAAAGCTATTCATCTTTTGAGAGAAGTACAAAGGGAGAATGGTAAGGGAGGAGTTGCTATGTGGGGGTAAATCTGGTGGCTAGAATGATATATATAACTAGTATTTTTGTTCATTGTATCCATATATTCATTTATTCACCAATTATGAGTTGGGACCAACCGTGTCCTAGGCAATAGATCTAAAAAGATAAAATTTAAAATTTAGTTCAATTATTAATTGCCTAGTGAAGGAAGCCAACAAATTAACAGATCAATGTAATAGACTGCATTGGAAGCCATGATAAAGATGAATCCAAGATACTTTTTAGAATATCTGAGGAGAGATTTCCTAACTAGAGAAATCTTTGAAATTCTTTTGTTTCATGAGAATAAGTAAAAAAATGAATAAGATTTAGCAGAAAAAGGAAGACGAAAAGGTGGTTCCAGACAAAAGAAACTCCAAGAGAGATATATCCCACAGGAGCAGGAGATGGAACAAATAGAATTATTGACTTTATTATAGTTGAAAGAAGTGATTCACTTAGTCAAGTATTTTGTCAGTATCCATTATATGCTCAGTTATACAATTTTTCCAACCTTGAATGGTATATTACTTTAGAATTTTAAATTTATTACATATGTTACTTATATTTTCCTGAATGTTCATAAGGCAGATAAGGAAAATATCCTTATTTTACTGTCAAAAGATGTATTATAAATGAAGCTAAAATCAGACTGTTCAGTATATTAAAATACTTATAATTGACTGATTCATTCGGTAAATAATTATTGAGCTCAATTTACATGATATTCACTGTTCCAGGTGCTACAGATGCAATAGTGAAAAATACAAGTTTCCTGCCTATGAGGCGTACATTTACAGAGAACTGTATACATACATACATACATATGTAAATATGAGACTGGTGCAGAAGTAATTGAGGTTCTTGCCATTACTTTTAATGGGAAGAAGGCGATGTAAATGGGAGAATGCTCATATATCCGTATATGAGAAAAAAGCTATTCATCTTTTGAGAGAAGTACAAAGGGAGAATGGCTTTTAATGGCATTGCTTTTCCTGGCAAGAACCTCAATTAGTTCTGCACCAATCTCATATATATATATATATTCATATACGATATGTACATATGTACATACATTCATATACATATTTTGCCATCAAAAGTAATAGCAAAAACCACAATTACTTTTGTACCAATCTCATGCATACATACATACATTCATATACAAACAAACACATATACACAAATCATACATTGAATGGTCATAGTTGCTGTATTAGTCCATTCTTGCACAGCTATAAAAGACCAGGTAATGCATAAAGAAAAGAAGTCTGATTGGCTCTAAGTACTGCAGGCTGTACAGAGCATAGTAGCTTCTGCTTCCAGAGAGGCCTCAAAAAGCTTCCAATCATGGCCGAAGGCAAACATGGAGCAACATTTCACGTGGCCTGAGAAGGTGAAAGAGAGGGATGGGGTAGGCATTATACACTTTTAAACAGCCAGATCTTGTAATAACTCATTCACTCACTATCATGAGACAGCACCCAGGGGATGCTGCTAAACCATTCATGAAGGATTCATCCTCATGATCCAGTCACCTCCCACCAGGCCCCACCTCCAACACTGGGGATTTCAATGTGACATGAGATTTGGTTGGGACACAGATCCAAACTATATCACATGCTATGGAAAACTAGAAAGAAAATAAAAGGAGATGATGGATGTCAGATAGAGTTGGATGGTCTGACTTTCCTAGTCTCACTTTATATAGAGTAATAAGGAAACACCTTATTGATAAGGAGATTTCAGACCAGAGACCTGAAAGAGATAAGAGGAAGAGCCAGACCAAGAGAATACAAAGTACAAAAGCCCTGGAACAGGATCATGCAGGAACCCAGTGAAGAAGCAAGAAAATGAAAAAGATGAGATCAGAAAGACAGTAGAGGGCCAAGTCATCTAAAAGGGCTTGAAGGTGATTGTGCAGAGCTACTCAGAACCCATATCAAAGCCTTGCTTTATACCATATATGTAATCACTCTCATGAATCCAGCAGAAAAAACTCAATGTTTTGTCAGATAAATATATTTTCTTAATGTTTATGTATATCTATGTATATATATGTGTGTGTGTATATAAAATATGTGTGTATATATGTATATATGACTTTCATCATTTAATTTTCAAAAATAATTCTATTGATTTAATGTGTCACCAGAGTTTAAAAATTATCAAATGGGGTCACAGTTGTAGGTGGGCATTTGTGTTTCTGTGTTTGTGGAGAGATGAGCAATAAAGATGGTAAATTTGAATTAAGTAACTTTCTATAGAATCCTTTCAATTTTGTGGCCTGTTGTCTTTTGTATTTTCAGTAAATTTATGAATACATTATCAGAAATGAACCTTCAAGTACCTACAGTTGCGGAAGAAAGGATTTCAAAAAATATGTTATAGAATTTTATAATTAAAAGATTTATTTTGGTAAACTGGTGCAGATGTTTGCATGTTCCTTATCTTTGAAGGATATATCACTAAACACACTCTTATGTGAAGATATGACAGTTCTTGTTTGAACCAATTTAGAAAGTGTCTTTAGTCTAATAGTAAATCATTCATATCTACCATGCACAAAATTTTCTTATCCTTCCCACAACTCAACCACATATGCATATAATTTATCAGATTTACTTTTAAAAAACTAAAAAATAGCATACATTCATTTTTTTAAATTAGTGTGCCCATTTTCCTAACTAATTTTAAATCAGTATTTGGTATAACCCATGAAGGAATTAACAGTAGGCAGCACAGGTTGCATGCGTTTTTTTGAGATTGTTCTATGCTCTTCTATATTTTAGAATGAGGAGCCCATGTTTTCTAGAGATGGCAGCAAATTCTTTATGACAGTTCCTGTTAAGCAAGGGGGACGTGGAGAATTTCACCACATAGCTATGTTCCTCATTCAGGTAAGTGCTGGCTTTTTTCCATGTTTTGATTTCATTATCCTCATGTCACTGAAGGCCCAGTTCTTGTGGCATTCTAAACCTCTAATTTATGGCCGTGAAACCCAGCCATATATACAACTCACAGACAGCTTAGGAAGAGGACCTCCATCCATAGCCATGCATTCAAGCCTTACCTTCCCAAAAAACAGTCTCAACACTCAGTACAATTTAATGAGTTAGATGTGTGTCCTGTGAACTGAGGGCTTTGGAATATAGAATTTAATAAATAAAAACCTCCCAACTTTTGAGGACCTGAGGCAATCTAGAGAAGATTTTTTATTCAATGAATACATATAACCCATTTTGTACAAGTAATATTTTCCAGGTGCTGTAAAAGTTTTAAATACTCAAAACAACCTAAATATCCACCAAAAATTGATGGTTGAATAAATTATGGCACATCTCCACAAGCAAATACAGTGCAGATTTTTAAAAACAGGATAAAATAGATGTTTTATGTTAAATAACATAGATTTCATGTTATAAAGTCTATGTTATATTTTTATAGACTTTCTGATAAAAAGAGGGGAAAGGTTACTTTTTAATCTAATCAAAGAATATGAAGGGTTTATACAGTTTTATTAATAAAAAATTAATAAATTCAGGTAGTTAGTTTAAATATGACAAGGCTAATGAGTCAATCTGAATTTAATTTCCAAGAGCAAGCATTCATGAAAAAATAAAGCATCCTTGAAAATCATATGCATAAATACTCTAGTCTCACAGGTTAAAGACTTTCTAATGAAAAGTCACTGTGGCTAAAATGGGATCTTTATGAGAGTTTTACAAACTAGCTAAGAATAATTTTGTACTTACAAAATATAGAATAAATATAAATATGGCAAGGATACCTAACTGACCTTAGTAATCTTATGTTTTTAGAACCTTTAAGACTTGTGCACATTCTCAAATGATTACCATTATCTACATATATTTGTATTGGACAGCTTAATGCTTTAGAGTCTCCAAATCTTATGTCAATAGTTTAAAATTTGAAACTTGTTCAGCGTCTGTGCAATTAAAATAATTGTCATTATTTTAACTTTAATTTGAATCAAGACTGAAACAAATAATTTGGAACACATACAATGTCCACAGTACAGATGTAGATTGATTTTCATAGCATATTATTAAGGTGGAAAAACAGGTTATATACTAATGCATAATATGATCCTATTTATGCTCTAAATAGATGTATGCATTTATAGATGGATAAAATTTTGGATGTTTTAATATCTGATTCTATAAGTCAGTTAATTATATCTATAAGTCAGATATAATTAAGGGAACTTTTTTATGAAACTGAAGGGAACTAGACTAGCAAATTACCTTACTTTATAAACTTTTGCTAATGAAGAGTCAACTTGGTTATCACAAATATTAGAGAACTATTTTGGCCCCCAAAATAACACACTTTCCAAATCTTATAACTGATTAAAACATTTCATTGAATTTTTAAATTTCAGTACTTTATATTCAAGAAGCTCTGTGAAAAATGTAAGGGGTAAAGAAGATTACATACAAATTATAGATATTTATAAGAGATAGTGAAGGATAGGAAAACTTGCACAGTACATCTTTGTATGTGTAATTCTCCAAAGAAGACAATCTGTCCTTGACTGTAGGTACCCTGTTGTGCTATCAAATACTACATCTTACTCATTCTATCTAACTGTATTTTTGTATCCATTATTCAACAAATAAATAATAGAAATAGTGTCTTTTAAAAAGTATGGCATTGGGTAGGGTTGTGATGTTGACATGTAGGAATTAAAATATTTATACACACCCAAACCAAGAGTTTTTTTTATAAGCCTAGGGAAGAAATACCTTCTATTTTACAGTCAAACCAGCCTAACATGTAGGCTAATTCCTATATTTCTGAAATGTTCAGAAGAAAAACTTTATAAAGTTCTTACCTTGTGTTTACTTTGTTCCTCTTCTGTATGGAGACTATAACAAAGCCTTCATTGAAGTAGAAAACATTTTTCTTCTGTTCTGGTTGCTGTTCAAGTAATTTGTGGTTTGCCTCATTGAGAAATGAACATGACTGCATGATTATTTATGAATATTTTGGCAATTGATTAAAATTAGTCTACTTTGCTAATGAGTCAGAAGTCAGTGCTAGGTAAATACAATTTATACCTAACTTTAAACACACGCAAACACAATCACATACATTATTTTAGGAAAGAGTTTGCACTACCTTGCCTCAATTTAAAAATAGCTAACAAAAAAGCTATTTATGATTTGTTTATGACTGCTTAATTGGCATTATGAACTATAAAATTCTGAAAAATTCAAACTGAATAAACTGATAAAGGAGTATATAAAATCACCCACAATAGCATTACCTCACATTCTCACACTTTTAATCCATTATTGTGTATATGTTAAATTCTTTTTTACATGAGAAATACATAATTTTCCCCTAAAGATTGCAATTATAGCATAATATACATTTATAACCTCAAAATAATAACTAATGAGCATTTTCTTTTTTTTTTTTTTTTTTTTGAGACGGAGTCTCGCTCTGTCGCCCAGGCTGGAGTGCAGTGGCCGGATCTCAGTTCGCTAAGCTCCGCCTCCCGGGTTCACGCCATTCTCCTGCCTCAGCCTCCCGAGTAGCTGGGACTACAGGCGCCCGCCATCTCGCCCGGCTAGTTTTTTGTATTTTTTTTAGTAGAGAGGGGGTTTCACCGTGTTAGCCAGGATGGTCTTGATCTCCTGACCTCGTGATCCGCCCGTCTCGGCCTCCCAAAGTGCGCATTTTCTTAAAACATTTAATTGTATTCCTAATATTTAACATTTTATATTTTTCTGAAATGTGATTTTAATAGCTGCTCAGCATCACATCAAGCAGATATACTGTATGTATGTATGTATGTATGTATGTATGTATGTATGTATTTATTTATTTATTTTGAGACAGAGTCTTAATTCATTACCCAGGCTGGAATGCAGTGACACGATCTCGGCTCATTGCAACCCCGCCTCCCGGGTTCAAGCAATTCTCCTGCCTTAGCCTCCCGAGTAGCTGGGATTACAGGCACCCACCATCATGCCCGGCTAATTTTTGTATTTTTAGTAGAGGTGGGTTTCACTGTGTTGTCCAGGCTGGTCTCAAACTTCTGACATCAGGTGATGTGCCTGCTTCAACCTCCCAAAGTGCTGGGATTACAGGCATGAGCCGCTGTGCCCGACCTGTACTGTATTTAAACGATCAAGTTTATTCATCATTAAAGTTATTTCTGTATTTTGATGTTAGAAATGATTTAGAGTTAAAAGCCCTTATAAACACTTTATTTATCATTCTTCCCACAAAATTATATTTCTAGATGTTAAAAGATACGCAGGCAGAGTATATCCATATGAATGTATTTGTTTAGGTTTTGATGTGTAATGCCACATTGGCTCTCCAAAAAATAGTACAGTAATTTACTGCCTAAACAGTAATGCATGCCAGCATTGATGACTTTTTCCCCCCTTCCTTCCCTTGCCATGTTACATAATTCTACTTAAAATTGTTATGCCTGAAAAGTGAGAAATGACAGGAGTGGGACCTTGGCCACCAGCAGTCAGCCAGATCACCTTTGCAGTACTTGGCGCTGACCTATGTTGAGAGCTTACTGGTTCACTGAGAATATATTTATTTGTTTGAAGTACCTTACTCCATGAAATTACTAAATTTTTGCAAACATTTGCTCTCTCATATTATCAGTAAGTCCAGAAAAATCATTAATTAGAGACCAAGCTGGAAAATTATTGCTTTCAAGCTATTTTCATTATGGAGAGTGATGACTGTCATTACATATATTTTAATGTTTTTTTTTTTTTTTTTTTTTTTCTCGTTTACAAGAGCAGTCCTTGTTAAAGTGATTCCAAAGGATACAAATAAAAGAAGCAAAGAATGCGTGTGTTTTCCTCCAGTCTTCGTTTAAACATTATTGTAATTTTATAGAAACTACAGTATTGCATCCTGATATGTCAAATTTAAATTTTAAATGCATACTTTTCCCACAATGCTAAATAATTTTGAAAAAAAAAATTTCTTTAGAAGATTAATATTGAGTAGACTGGATGTGCATCAATCACCATTTTTTGTTGTTCTGTGTTTAATTTACTGGCAATTCGTTGTAATGATAGATGTCACTGTATATAAAGCTTATTTATATTGTGGATTATTTCTTTAGTATTGATTAACAAAACTGGAATTGCTGGATCAAAAGTAAAAGATTTCTAAGTCCTACTATATGTATTTCCAGATCACTCTCAGTTTGAATATATGAAAGCAAAATTTGTGAATATTTTCTCCACTTTCATATATTCTATTAAAGATAATTTTTAAAAAAACTATGACTTTTCTGAAATCTATATAGCTAAAGAAATTGTTCTTCTGGATAGAGTGTTTAGTATGCATTTTAATATCAGTTTATGTACTTCCTCAGTTATACATTGATACAAAACTTTTTACCCCAGACCATTAAACTTTTGATCACTTCAGATATTCGCCCCTTCACTCCCTGAAAAATATTTGTTATGTTGACTTCAAACTTCTGAATTCTCATCTCAGGAAGTGTAACATCCTGCCATTCAGGCTACAGCCAAGAGATAGGTTTTTATCAAAGATATAGCACCTTTTTCTCTCAAATATGGAGTAAGCAGAGTTTTCATTGTGTTCAGCCGTTCAGATTCATAGGCATAAGGAACGGCCCTGCCATCTTCTAAAATTGTGTTAAGTGAAAAATTATATGTTGGTGAATCCATTCACTTTCTCTATTCAGCAACACGAAGTTTTACCCATGAGACCTTATGATTTCACTTGGAACAATTTTAAGTACATTATTCACTGCAAATACTGTGGAAAATAGTATGCCCCCAATGCACAATTTTATCACCTAATCAACCCAGTAAAATTTTTGCATTAACTTTCATTGCTGTATCTGATTAGGACATTGTCTGAAAACAATTAGCTCATCTCATGTGGTGAATAGATGGCAAATTAAAGCATGCTATTTTTAAGCGCTACAACGTTTCCCTCATTTAGAAGCTGTAAAAGTTAAAATTTAATATAATAAATTTGAATGAATAATGTGTAATTAGGTAAAAGCACATGCACCGTTAAACTTGTATTGATACCCTATGTGTTTCCAATTTGTAAATAGAACTATAAAACTAATATTTAACTTCCTTGAGCAGGATAAAATCTCTGTGAATTCAAGGGCACTTGTCTGATGTCTAATGTTCCAAATAAAAACTCTATTCCAAGTTTCCAGCCCTCTTTAAAGAATGAGTGAACTCACAAGGTCTGTTGCTTTTTAGTCTGAAATTAAAGATGAAATATTAGTTCAATTTAAAATACATTATCATATTGCCTTTATCAAAAGTTCACTACAGTTTTATATTTATATGCAGTATTTCTAGTCTATCAAGTTAATATTGCAGAGCTTATGGATGCACAGAAAGAAGAAATGTTACCGTAGAGTAAAAACTGCTGTTCTTTCCTGCTTTGTTAAGTGACGTTTCCTGTGATTGTATTTCTGCTGAAGGTGCTTGAAAACCTAACTGAAGTGCAAACATCGCTTTGTGAAATCTGCTCAAATCCCTGGATATTTATTTTTTAACTGTCGCTCAGTCATCTACCATATTCTGATTGGTATTAAGATGATTAACCAGATCAAAATTAATGTGTCCCCTGCTGTGACATTCTTATATAGGTTATTAGAAAGTAAATATTTGCTATTATATGCAAAATGGGGGTTCAACCTATTCCTCATACCATATTTGCCCTGATAGGTAAAAAGCAAGCAAGGCAATTACAGCTGTTTAAAATAAATCAAAAGGTTGTAGGGTTGTTATTATGGCTTCCGACAAGGGATCTTTTGATCCTACACTTGAAAGTGTAATATTTTGAACTAAAAGTATCATTGAAGTAAATAGTGTACAGTTTTATTTTTTTATATTGTGTTCAAACATTTTTCAAAGCATTGAGTTTTTACTCATGGCAATTTTAATTAAAACACACATACACCACACACACACACACACACACACACACCCCCCACATACACCAAAATATCTTGAAAAACAGAAAATAATTAAACTAGAAATCTGTGGGCCAAAAGTTTCTCCAGATGTTTTCAAATATTGAGCAAAGTTTCTTCCCTTTTTTAACGTTTTGAGATTTTTTTTGTCTTGAAATTGGCATCAAAGATGCACTAAAACCTTGAAATTTTAGTGTCCCATCCTTGGCTCATTCAAAGCAGGGCCTGGAAATGAGTAAGAAAGAGGAGCTATCCACTGAGTTATTTTTCTGTGGGAACTTGGCAATAAAATGTATGACTTTAGGACTCTGTGCCAGCCTTTGGGTTGTGCAGGTCTCATATCTCACAAATTGGATGTCTTTGCACTTACATCGTTAGTCAACAAATACTTGTAAATCACAGTAGTACATCAGATAGTGTACAAAGAAGGTGACACAAAGAAGTCACAGACTTGCTGTTGACCTAAAACAGCTAGATGTCTGGAGAACTTCCACTAAGAACATAAAATAGACTACTTAGGCAGATATTGAAATGCAAATACACACCAATAAGAAAATTTTTCAAAGGAAGATTCTGTTAGTACACATGTGCAGTAAGCTATAGGATGCCTTTTTAGTTTACACTTTCAGTTGTATGGGAAAATAGAGGTTATAATAAAACTGTCCCATATGAACCTAATTCTGAATTTATTTTTACCAAAAATGCATTGAAAGTGTTACTCAGCTGACAGATTACACTCTCTGAAGACAATGCAATTGAATTGCACAAATTATAACATTTAAAATGTCAGACATTTAGAAACAAAATATAATTTCTATTCATAGTTTCAAGAAGAAATCAGCAAATACTTGGAACTAAATGAAAATACTACATATACCAAAATACGCAGTACATATAAACAATAATTTTTAATATATGCAATAATTTTATATGCATATATGAAATTATGTATATATCCAATGTCAGAACTTAGAAAAAGAAGCGAATAAATTCAAATGTAAAAGAAAGGAAATTAGAAATGAAAGAGTAGGCTGGGCGCAGTGGCTCATGCCTGTAATCCCAGCACTTTAGGAGGCCGAGGCGGGCAGATCACCTGAGGTCGGGAGTTAGAGACTAGCCTGACAAAAATGGAGAAACTCCATCTCTACTAAAAATACAAAATTAGCCTGGCATGGTGGTACATGCCTGTAATCCCAGCTACTAGGGAGGCTGAGGCAGGAGAATGGCTTGAAGCTGGGAGGCAGAGGTGGCGGTGTGCCAAGATCACGCCATTGCACTCCAACCTGGGCAACAAGAGTGAAACTCAATCTCAAACAAACAACAACAAAAAAAATGAAAGAGTAGCACTTATTAAGCTAGTAAGCAAACATGAAATAAAGCAGTGTGATAAAACAAATAAGTTCTTTGGAAAAAGTAATTAAATCTATAATAGCTATCAAGGGTAATAATAACTTGGACAGCTCCAAAGTATAAATAATGGAAAAGGACAAAATTACAGATTTTAAAAATATTAAAAGAATACTATGAATAACTTTACGTTGATAAACTTGAAATTTAGGAGAAATGGATGCAATCCAGAAAAAAAGTCAAAAATCAGATTTAAGAAACAATCAAAATCCCCCATAGTGCTAAGAAAATGGAATCAGTGATGTAAAACTTTTCACATCAGGGAAAGGCTGTTTTTAAAAGTGAATCTAACCAGATATTCTAAGAAGACACACTTCCAATTTTATGTTATTTTGAAAATGAAAAAAAGATGGCATATCTTTAGTACAATTTATGACGTGGGTATCATCTTGTAACCAAAACCAAATTAAGACAATATGGGAAAGGACAGTATAAGAGAGTTTAAAAATACTGAACCAATTATTGACAAGTTGACTTATTTAATGCATTTAAAAAATTAACTCATTTTTCACACAGGAATGCAAAATTTGCTTAAAATTTCAAAAATATATAAGATAACTGCATTTAAATCTTCATGAGAAAATTATAATCACCTTAATAGATGCAGACATAGGATCCAACAAAATCAACAAATTCAGTATTCAAAAATTCAAAATTCAACAAAATCAGTATTCAAAAACCTTAGAAATTTGGGAATAAAGGGAACTTCTTTTAGATGAGAAAGGCACTTGTCAAAAGGTTCATTAATGTAGCATAATTGATAATGGAACAGTAGTAATAGTCCCTTTAAAATCAGCACTGAGATAAGGAATCAGAATGAAGTAACTTCAGTATACACAAAACCAGAGATAACAGTTTTGTGGTTTGTTTATACTTTAAGTTCTAGGATACACGTGCAGAAGGTGCAGGTTTGTTACATAGGTATACACGGGCCATGGTGGTTTGCTGCACCCATCAACCCATGATCTACATTAGGTATTTCTCCTAATGCTATCCCTCCACTTGCCCACCATCCCCTGACGGGCCCCAGTGTGTGATATTCCCCTCCCTGTGTCCATGTGTTCTCATTGTTCAGCTCCCACTCATGAGTGAGAATATACAGTGTTTGGTTTTCTATTCTTGTGTTAGTTTGCTGAGAAAGATGGTTTCCAGCTTCATCCGTGTCACTGCAAAGGACATGAATTCATCCTTTTTTACACCTGTATAGTATTCCATGGTGTATATGTGCCACATTTTCTTTCTCCAGTCTATCATTGATGGGCGTTTGGGTTGGTTCCAAATCTTTCTAATCCATTCTAATCAGTGTTCTCTAACTATGTAAAATGATTAAGGAATAGAATGATAGTATTTCTAAGAATACTTTTTGGGTCAAGCAATATATATTTTTTAGATAATACTACTACCTGTTTTCTACATATTAAAATGTTAGTCCTATAAACACGTTGGAAGCATTGATTAAACTAATTACCTTCATCAACATGAATTCATCTTGGAAAAAAAAATTATTGCATTAATTGGCAAATCTTATAACAATGCCCATACTGCAAAGGTTAAAATGAATACAAACCTGAGTCTTTATTGGAGTAAATTTTGTTTTAAAGTATTTTTTTAAAAAAAGCTAACTGTAGAGCTGCCAGTCATCTAGATGAGAGTGATTAATGTCCTACCTTGGTATCAAATGCTGCCATCGACATGGTATACTTGATTCACCCTTACCCGGAGGAGTTTTCTGAATGACTTTTCTGTAGTTCAAATAAAAGCACTAAGCTACCTACCTTGGTCTGTGTTTACAGGAACGCACGTTCATTCTTGAGCTACGGAACAGAAAACTGAATGTTAACTGAGAATTAAAGAATTCAAAGTGTCACGAGCAGTTGGTACATTCGTGTTTAGCAGAGAGATGCTGTTTAAATAAAAAGAAAATCAATATTTTCTATTTCTTTGCAGAGTAAAAGTGAGCAAATTACCGTGCGGCATCTGACATCAGGAAACTGGGAAGTGATAAAGATCTTGGCATACGATGAAACTACTCAAAAAATGTGAGTGTTTTCAGTTCCCTAGTCAGGCTGCAAGTCAGGGTTGTCAAATGCCATCTTTTCTACTAGAATTATGTTTTACTTACCATAGTCCTAGTCAAAACAAGCCAGCCATGGAAAGAATAACCTTTCTTTAAAGACCTCTTCCACACTTCACACAGAGGCATCTTACACAGAGGCATGTACGCGTGTGTGTGTGCACGCAAACACACAGTGATTGGGAGAGAGTATGTAAAAGGATGATTTTATCAGGGGAAAAAATATGTTTCCCAGATTGATCAAAGCCCTGTGTTTGAATAGCAAAACAACTCCTTTCTGTATTTGGACAGTTTTAAAACTTCAAGTGAAGATTTAATGTGAAAATTCAGGTGACGATTCCATGTGAATTCAAGATTCAATGTGACAATGTGACAAAATTCACAGATCACAAAAAATAGATCTATGTCTAATGCTTGTGTTGTTTTCTTTCCTGGACAGTTACTTTCTGAGCACTGAATCTTCTCCCAGAGGAAGGCAGCTGTACAGGTAAGCAGTGTGCAAGGATCTCCTTACACAGACTGGCTTCTCAGTGGCTATCTATGTAGCATAAGGAAGGGAAGGAAAAATTTTAAATGTCTTTTGCAATGTGGCTAGGGAGAGTCAACTTTGCATGGCAAAGCTTCACACTCTTGCACCAGTCTGTCCCTTGGCAGGACTGGACACAATGCAGCCTGCTTTCTCCCTTCCTCCTCTGCTCTCTCCTTACTGTTTTCTTCACCTGCTTTTGCAGTTTCTTAGTATCTTTTTTTGTGGCTTGTTTCTCTCAATTCTCCACGTCGGAGACATTTACATATTTTCCCTTGTGCCTTCATCTCCTGCTAAGTCTCATTTTAAATTTTCAGTACATTAATGTGGCACAGGTGAAATTTATTCTTGTACAGTATAATGTTGTTGTGAACAGTTAGTCTACTGTATCAAGCAGGAAACTTTCCCCCTTTGTCTTGCCGTTCATAAAACCCAGTGAGATTGTTTCAGGAGGAGGCATCCTTATTTAAATAAGGAATGCTCATTGCTTGCTAAAATAAAGCAATACTTGGGAAAATAATTACATCTGTTCAATGTTCCCAAATGCAAAACTATACTCAAAAAGAGGCTTAAGCTCGCACCTATTTAGTATTAAAATGTCTCTTTACTCAGAAAGCTTTTACCAGGATCCCACAAGAATGACTTTTATTTTTGACTGGCAAGCAGCCTATTAATTCTAGACTTTATATACATGTTCTAATTTCCATTTCACAGATCCATTTTTAAAGTGTCAAAACTGCCATGACCTATTCTCAGGGGAAATTCATCATGTTTGAAGAAGTGTCACCACTAATTCTTACCAAGTCGCATAGACTTTCCTTTGAGAGTTAAAATGCATGTTTCAAGTCCTCCGACTTCCTCTACATCACCCCCCACACTCTTATTTGTACACAATTAGCTTTCATCAGAAGCAACCTTGTCCTTTTAATCGCCTTTCTTAATATATCATTTTTATATTCTTAGTTTATTCTCTTGGACCTCCTGGAACCCATGTTCTTAATTCTGACTTCCAGGAAACAAAGCTATTTATATAGAGATAGTGATTTGAATTTTGGATTAGGGATCTTGATCAAAGTACTGGTCACTTTTTCTTTTGGTGACCTGAAGCTTATCTTTCTTGAAACATACATTATGATTTATATTGGTAGCCATAAACTATAACTTAGAGAGGTGGAAATACTTTATATCTTATAAAATTCCTATTTTATAAAACTCAAAGAAAAATGACAGCATCAGAAGATTAGACTTGGTTAAGTTTAGCAAATGGAACTGCCTCAATCTTTCTTCCCATTATTAGTCTAAAATGTGATTTGAACCATAATGGCTTCTTAGATTTGTGTGCTTGTCTTATCTCTCTAGTGACTGAGGCAGAACAGTCAATATATCTCTGACGTGTACTAGTGTAGTTGACTGTGTTATAAAGAAAATGTAGTACCAATAAATTTTCCCTTAAATAGCTCATCAAATGCCAGTTGGCTTGACTGTAAGATAATGTTAGTGTTTGACCCAGAAAATGCAATCAATGTCTTGTCCAGGCCATAAAAATGATCATTGGTTGACTTAATATATGGCACTAGGCACCCCTGCAGGAGTAGGACTGCTACCGTAGTCATTGTTACTTTCTTTGTCTCAACATTTGCATCTCTTTATTTCAGCGATCTCATAATCTAAATAATGAGAAAATACCACATAAATCTCCAGGGAACTTGGATCTAAAAGCTTTATGGAAGAGTAGAGAGAAAAAGGTTTTAAATCTTAGTGTGTCACTGAATAGCTGTGTGCAACTGGGGTAATTTCTAAGTTTTCTGTGGTGAAAATTGTACAATATTGTGAATGTAATTAATGAAACTGAATTGTGCACTTAGAAATGCTTAAAATGGCAAATTTTATGTTATACAGGTTTAACCCAAATTTTATAAAATGAAAAAAAATGACTATAAATATTTTATAAGTTATGAGTGAAACTAATATGATTTGTACTTAGTATATGTTAATTGTTTTGACTATTATAAGAAAATTTTGGATTATAATCATCTCACAGTGTTTCAAATATGGAATTGTGATTTTGTGAACTGTTTCTTGTATCTGCCTTAACACCCCGTTCCAATCCCCATACCTACAGCGTATTGCACATCAAAACCAACGTGAATATTATTCATTTGTAAATATGTAGCCAAAAATCATGTTTCATTCCAAAATGAAATCGAGCCTTTTGTCTGATCAAGTTTTTTAAAGATATTCTCAACAGTGTTTTCATCCAATGACCTACCAAATTTTGCATTCAGACTTATTTATTAAATAAACAATTCGATAAATGAAATTTAATCTTGTATTAATTTTTCAACTCCTATAACCTTAAGCACCATTATAGTGATGACTCTTCTTTTTACCACCTCATTATTTCAAAGTGTGTGTTGTTGTGTTATATATGTTATAATACAAATACAACTTTTTTTTAAATCAGTAATTTTTCTGCAAGTAAATGATGGGGAAAATTTGGCACTGATACCAAATTCTAATGTTTAGAATGTTTAATTTAGAAAATCATGAGCTTGATGTTTTGTTTGACTTGTGGAAATGTTTATTCCTTCTTTCAATGAGTATGTATTAAATATTGAATAATATCTGTGGGAAATTCCCTTTAAGATTTTACACAGAAATATCTATTTAAAATGCAAAAAACATTAAGTTATTTTGAGTTCCATTGAAATCAGTTCTTTGTTTATAGCCATACATACAACCATACATATTGCATACGTAAAAATATACATACTTTTAATTTTAATAGATTAAGAAAAATGTGTATGTTTTAACATTACTTATAGAAGTTGACATTTTATGTATATGGTGATTCACAGTTTACAATGAACCTCTATGCAAATACCAATGTAACTCCCCTGTTTATATTATATTTAAATATGAACACCACACATTCAAGGGCCTAGAATGGTAGCATTTCTATAATAACTTCCTTTTTCTTTCTCCAGTGCTTCTACTGAAGGATTATTGAATCGCCAATGCATTTCATGTAATTTCATGAAAGAACAATGTACATATTTTGATGCCAGTTTTAGTCCCATGAATCAACATTTCTTATTATTCTGTGAAGGTAAGATAATACATGAATTCTGATATAATATATTTTATTCATTGTATTTGATCAATATCTGTTGGTATCGGCAATTATTATTCTAGATGATTTCATAATCTTAATTTGTAAATTTTTGTTAATAGGATATTCATTATATATACATTCACTGAGATACAATTTTTTACATATTTCATTTAGAAATAAAAACTGAGACTAAGTCAATAAACATGCACACATAATTAATAAGTGCTATTTGAACATGAGCAACTCTCAAAGGTGAATAAATATATTTATATCAATAAAGCCATGCCACAATCATAAACTAATTTACCTAGTCTTTAGGAAAAGTAATAGTCTAGTCTCCTTGTTAAAACAATGCCTTAGTTGTTAAGAGATTTAGGATCTATGGAAATTTAGGACCTATGGAAATTGAATTCCCTTGCTTCAACGTTCTTCAATTCCGAGCAATTATATTCACCATTATCACCCTTTCTATCTTGTAACAATATGCATAGTCTTACATGTTTATACAGTATTTCTACAATATAGTCATAGAAATCATTTTCCATTTAATATGATACTGTATTTTCCAGAGATTAAATGGAACTCATGTGTCCTCTTATCATATGAGGAGTTGAGTGCTACTACTGCAGCTGATACATTAAGCTGTCCTTTTTTAAGACATAATGAGAGTATACCAAGACTTACTTTTTAACATTGTTTTTCTCTTGATATATAAAATGAAGTAATCAAAAAAGAAGTTCTTGTTTAATGACATCAGGAAAAAAAAAACACATTAGTTTTAGATGGGATTCCTTGGAGAAGTGAAGTTTCAAGATAACTTTTTACAGTAACAAATTAGCTAGTATATTTTAAGTATTTGGATACTTATGGAGATTAACATATTTTTTAATTAATGTAAAATTACTCCCAATTTTTAAACTTTTCTTGTGGATGAACTATTTCCAATATGCATACATTCTTTCTTTTTTGGCTGAGTGGCAAATAGATTTTGATCTTGGACCAGTGAATGAGGGGTGAAAGGGTCGTAGATTAGCTTTCTGAACATCAGTGGCTAGTCTATAAAAGACTAGAGATAAAGAGAAAGCGTGTAGAATTGGCTAAAAACATAGAAATATAGATCATTTGGGGGAAGACAGAATCTTTACACAATCTCTGCAAATAGTTTCCTTCTTATATATTCTTACCCTTCTGAATATAATGCTTATAAGTAGGAATGAAAATTAGTTATCTGGTTTCTGTTTTGTTATGTTTTAACCATGAAGTGCTTCCATTTGGGAAAAAAAAACAAACACTATTATGTAAACTTTCTAATGATTATCACTTAGACATCTTTAAAAATATTTATACACATATTTTTAAATTCCAGGTCCAAGGGTCCCAGTGGTCAGCTTACATAGTACGGACAACCCAGCAAGTGAGTACACAAGAAGACAATTAAGAATAGTTACGGTTGGCATTAGTCTTAGACATTGTATTATCTATTCTGAGTCATATACTCTATAAATCCTTCCTCACAAAATCCCCAGCATGAGGAAAGCTGTGTGTATACCATCAACTTGACCTTATGTATGTAAGAAAGGCAGTAAAGCAAGCAATGTGAGCCATGTTACAGGCGGGAGGTGAATCTTATATGCCCAAAATAGGATATCTACTACCTAAATCAAATAGAGTTATTGATGAAACAGGTACATTTTAGCTTACTGGCTTCTTAATGTTCTGGTTCATTCTTGCCTGGGCCTCACCTAAGTTGTTCCTCCAGAATAATCTTTTGAAGACATTTTGGAAAACTATGAAAAATATTTTATATATTTTCTATCCTGTTTCTTCCAGATATCCAGGTTCTTCTAGTTTTATATATGCACTTTTTCATTTATGCATTTATTCATTTGTATTTTGTCAAGTGATGTGACAGAGTCTGAGGGTCCATTGGAAGGGTCTCGTGTTCAAGAACTTACAGTAAAGTAGATAAATAAATGCATGGTTGGGCTTATCTTAAAAATGAATAACCAGACTTCATCCTTTCTTCCTTTCTCTTTCCTTTCTTCCATGTTTGTATCCTTCTTTCATTTTTTAAGTTTTATTTAATCAATGCTTCTATTCTGTGATTATTTCACGTAAGCTACTATAATCTAATAATGGCTCATATTTATTGACTCATTTAAACTTCAGAACACCTCTGAGATAGTTAATTTGATTACCCCTTTTTACAGGTGAGAAAAATTAGTCTCAAAGAGGTTAAGGATTAATAACTTGGCCAGAGTCATACTAATAAATGGCAGAACCACGAATCAAATGAGACAGTCTGACTCGAGAATAGGGTTTGTAATTCAGTACAATATAATATCTACTTTTTCTGTTGTGCTTTTGCCTCTTGCATTGCATACTCTTATTTAAGTAGGAGTCAGTTAGGTGCCTTGACTTAGAAGACATACAAGTAAAAAAGTATAAGGTTGAATGACAAATATCATTTTGAGAAAACAGATCAAGACCAATTATATTCTTCAAATAATGTCATATGGACACTTAGTGCATGCACTAGGCAATAAGAAATTTCTAAGTTTGTGTTGGGTTTTTGTGTGGCTGGAAGATGGTTTAGCACACATTTTAGTTTCTATTTATTTCATTATTTCCATCTTCAGTGTAAACTTAAAGAGGTTATGTTAAGCAAATCAAATCTATTCAATATTAACTCTAACAGCAACAATAATGATCATAGACAGTATGGTTGATAAAATGGAAAGAAAGTTGAATCTCATAGATAGAACAATCAGTGTATAAATAAGTCTATCACATGCTTTTTGTGGGATCCAAGATGGTGTATTAACATCTCATAGAATCAGTGTCCTCCAAGGCAAATAAATAAATGTGTTTGCAGTGGAAATGAGTAATATTCATGATATATAGGACACACTTAACCAATAACTATTTGTGTTACACTGTATATTCTGCCTTTAACAAAGGATGATTAAAAATTTTTCCAATCTGATTTTAATTTGATTTTATCCTGTTGTTACAAGGCAATGTCTTTTCTAATAACTTCTGCTTCAAATTACAAAACATTTCTGTCTTAGGGAAACCACGTTATTTTCCTGTTCAGAAGCCAATCACGATTGTCTCAAGGTCAACAAAAACAAAAAAAGGCTATGAATAGTGGTCAAGTGCTTAATTTTCTTTTCAAAGGATAATTACTTAGGGAGATAAAATTTATAGTCAATGGCAAGTAAGTCTTTGGGTTAATGAAAGCAAATATACCAAAAATAAATCATAACTCATTTTGGGGCCACATGAAGTAGAATAATGCATGGGGAGAAATTTTTTAAAAAGAAAAAGGAACATATTTAACAAGCATGGAAAATCTTTAAACCCACTAGTTGTCAAAGAAATGCAGAAGAAACTACTGCCATGTAATTTTTCCTAACAAATTAATAACATTAAACATTTGTATTACTAACAAAGATAGAATGTAGTAGAAGTGTTAATTATAACATATTAAAAATAATAGTCAAGACTTAATTCTTTTTATTTCTTTTTTTTTTTTTTTTTTTTTTTTTGAGGCAGAGTTTTGCTCTTGTTGCCCAGGCTGGAGTGCAATGGTGTGATCTCAGCTCACTGCAAACTCCACCTTCCAGGTTCAAGCAATTTTCCTGCCTCAGCCCTCTAAGTAGCTGGGATTGCAGGCATGTACCACCATGCCCAGCTAATTTTTGTTTTTAGTAAAGACTGGATTTCTCTATGTTGGTCAGTCTGGTCTGGAACTCGCAACCTCAGGTGATCTGCCAGCCTCAGTTTCCCAAAGTGCTGAGAGTATAGCCATGAGCCACCATGCCTAGCAAAAACTTAATTCTTTTATATCTTTTTTCATTTTTGTAGTTTATACTGAGAAAATAATTCTAAATGGAGAATATTATGACAAAGCTATTGAAAATAGAAAAAGACATTATAAATAACAAATAATGGGAGTTTGTAAATAAATTTTAATAGAATATGACACAGTGCCCTGAGCATCTTCCATTTGTTTTTCCAGAACCACTTTTAACTCTCAATTCTCTTCAATGTTCTCTGGCCTGGAAGTACTTTCTACAGATGGCTTAGGTTCTGTTGCCCCATGACTTCCAACTGGATTCCACCAAAGGAAATCTTGTAGGCAACTGGAAAGAGGGAGAAAACTGCTCTGGGTTGTTTATTCCACCAGCCCTGTTCCTGTGTACTCACCACAGGTTGGCTGTGACCTTTGGCTGAAGGGAATCTTCACCCTTGACCTTCAGGCCCAGCCACTGTGTTCTTGAAGTTTTCTTTTTTCACTGTGTTTCTGCCGGGATTTGGTATCGGAATCATACCAAATGATTGAGATGGAGTAAAAAATCATACCAAAGGAATGAGTTGGGGAGGAATCCCTTCTCCTTGATTTTTTGGATTAGCTTCAGTAGGATTAGTCGCAGCTCTTCTTTATACATTTCATAGAATTTGAATATGAATCCATCTAGTTTCCAGCCTTTTTCTAGTTGTTAGGCTTTTTATTACTGATTTAATTTCATAACTCATTATTGGTCTGTTCAGGTTTCCAGTTTCTCCCTGGTCCATTCTTGAGAGGGTGTGTATGTCCAGGAATTTATCAACTTCTTGTAGGTTTTTTAGTCTGTGGGCATAGAGGCACTCATAATAGTCTCTGAAAGTTTTTTGTATTTCCATGGGGTCAGTGCTAATGTCCCATTTGTCATTTCTGTTTGTGTTTATTTGAATTTTCTCTCTTTTTTATTAGGCTGTCTAGCAGTCTATTAATTGTATTTATACTTTTGAAGAATCAACTTTTGATTTTGTTGATCTTTTGTATGCTTTTTCACATATTCATTTCATTCAGTTCAGCTCTGATTTTTTTTTTTTTTTCTCCTGTAGCTTTGGATTTGGAATTGGTTTGCTCTTGTTTTTCTAGTTTCTCTGTGTGAATATTCACCATTTTTTAAGCATTTAAAATTAAATGCTTAGGATAGCTTCTTTGAGAATATACTAATGTTTAAATAATCAGAGTTTCTTTACATTTTAAACATGTAAAAAACCTCTTAGAACATCTAGTCTTCCAGATATATATTATAGGGGAAGATATTTACTTACAAAAGAGGTAGTTTGATGTGCCTGAGATTACACACACACAGCATTGTCCAATGGGAGAAACATAAAATTACATGGCTATAACAGTCTGTGATTATTTCTCTAGTAAAAGTGTACACAGTTCAGGGCAAGAGAAAGTCAATGCGAAGACATTTTCAGAAAAACAAATGTGTATATACAGACATAAGAACGCATAAAAATGTTCACATTTGCAAGATAAACATTGTTCATCACGGCTGGAACAAAACATTTACTAAAAAAGCAAAAATATATGAGGCCAGAGGGACAGACTGGAATTGGATTGTGACTCTTATATTTTTTTAAGTTGTTTGGATTCAATCATATTGGTTCAATGATAAACCTTTGACATTTTAATTTTTTTTTTTTTAATTCTGGCTGTGGAGTAACTGGAAATAGACTTGATCCCCTTGTTTCCCTTAAGAAAAAATAAGAATAATAATACAGAAAACTGGACAAAATGTACAAATCAACTGTTTCCAGACATTTGACAATAGCCAGCATGGGTCTCAGATCCCTGAAAGAAGGAAATAAGTAAAATTAGTGTTGTGAGTTCTCTAGCTTTCTTGTTAACAGCAATTTCTGAAATCCAGTGCAATAAGGAATAAACTAATCATAATGCAATGATATCCCTGAGTTGAGGAGACAGAAAATGATATTCAGATAGATTGAGGCTTATGGAGTGTTGAGGAATTGTATGGAATTTTATGGAATTGAGGCTTATGGAACGATGGAACTGGAAATGAAGAAGCCACATGGAGAAAGACATCTGCATAGGGCTGGAAGAGGGATCACCCTGAATCGGAAGTGGGATCACCCTGAATCATCTGCTGAAAATACCTAGCTGAGTATGCATAGGAAGATGCTTCATGAGTGTGGGCAATGCCAGAGCTTACAAAGTGGTGGGATATGCTCACCTTTTAATCAGCAGAGTAGTGGAACATTTAGAAGAGATCCCAGAAGTGTTCTGCCTTTTGTAGTGCTAAACCAGCCATAGAGCAAAGGTCATTCAAATACACACTAAAAAGATTTCTTTAAAGGTCTTCAAACGGTCAACCTGCCTACAACATATGCCAGAACAAAGTCCAACAATTGTTAAAAGATCACAACAAAACCCAGGCTTTCAAAATGTAAATGCCACAATGGTCAGTGTCTAATAAAAAATTACTAGCTTTGTGAAGAAAGTGGAAAATATGACTCATAAATAGGAGAAAGATTAGTGAATAGAAACAGACTCAGAAATGACAGAGATGATGGAAATCACTGACAAATACAGTAAATTAGCTGTTACAAATAAATAAAGCTATCAAGAAAAGAATTAATGTAGAGAGAAAACAAAGAGGATATATTTTTATAAAAGAACTTTGTGAATTTAAAATAAAATATTTGAAATATAAACTTCACTGGAAAATACTAAAAACAGATTAGAGGCCACAGAGGAAAAGATCAGTGTACTTGAAACAATATCAGTAGAAAATTTCTTGACACAAAAAGGAAAAGAAAGACAAAGGAAGAACATAAATTAACTGTAGGCCAATATCTACATCTCTCATATTTGTAATTAGAGTCAGAATGGGGCAAGGAGACTTGCAAAAAATATTTGATGTAATAATGGCCAATAATTTTCTATATCTGATGAAAAAGTTCAAAAAAGTTCAACATAAAGAAAACAAGATAAATGTCAATAAAACCACACCAGTGCACATCATGAGCAAATTATACAAAACCAATGATAAAGAAAAAAATTTTTAATCATCAGAAATTAAAAGACACATTACATCCACATATTACACACATAGTAAAAACAAATGACTACAGACATCTCATCAGAAAAAAAGCAAACCAAAAGACAATAGACCAAAATACTGTAAATGCTTATGGAAAACAAAACTGAACTAAACAAAAATCCTTAATAGAAAAACAAACTTAGAAGATATTTCTCACTTAAAAATGAAGACAAAAAGAAAGTTTCAAGAAGAAAAGAAGTGAGAATGTTCTGTCATCAAACTTACACTTCTAAATAATACATTGATCAATAAAAAATAAATAATTAGAAACTATTTTGAGCCAAAGAAAAATAAAAAGACATCAGATCCCAATTTAGCGATAACTACAGCTGTGATTAGAAAGAAATCTATGACTCTAACTTATTGTATAAAAATAAAAACACCTCAGATCCCAATTTAGGGGTTACTACAGTTGTGATTAGAAAGAAATTTGTGATTCTAACTTATTGCATAAAAAGGAAGCGTTTAAAATCGATAATCTCCTCTTTCACCTTTAGAAACTTGAAAAACATGAGCAAATTAAAACAAAGTTGAAAGAAGGAGATAAAAATGGGTAAGAAGGAAATAAATGATATTGAAAATAGACTAGCAATAGAGAAAATGTATAAAACCAAAAGGTGCTTCCCTAACAAGATCAATAAAGTTGGCAAAATTCTAGCCAGAGACATGAAGAAAAAGAGAAAAATGTAATGCCATTAATAAAAGAGATGATGTCCATACAAATGCTATAGATATTAGAATGACAATAATGGAACATTATAAGTAATTTTATGCCAGTAAATTTGACATCTTAGATGAAATGGAAAAATTCCTTAAAAGACACAAATTGCTAAATATTCACATGAGAAGAAATACAATATATAAATATGCAATTAACATTCTCCTCACAAAGAAAACTCCAGTTTCAGCTAGCTTTACTGGTGCATTCTATGCAACATTGAATAAATTAACACCAAGCTTACACAAACTCTTTTTTAAAATATAAGGCAAGTATCGACAGGATTCCAAATCCAGACATATATATTAGGAGGACAAAAAAAAAAAATCAAATTTTCTCATGAATTTAGACGCAAAACACCTTAACTAAATAATAGCAAGTCAAACCTAGCAATTATAGAAAGTATGATAATTTATTATGGCCATATTGGATTTACCCAAAGATTCTATGTTTGCTGTAACCTTCAACAAACAATATAATTCACCATATTACACTGACACTTCAAAGGATTTAGAAAAAAATTGAAAATTTTGACAAACAATAATACTAATCAATTAATAGTAATTCCTAATCAAGATAAGATAGAAAGAAATTCCTGAACTTCATGAATGGTATCTGTAAAAATACTACAGCTGACATCATGCTTAATGGTGAAAGAATGATGCTTCTCCCTGAGAACTGGGAAAGTCAAGAATGTTTGTTCTGACTCCTTCTGTGCAACATGGTAGTAGAGGACTTAGCCAGTAAAATGGGTAAGACAAAGAAATATACGCAATAAAACTGTGTTTATTTGCAGAAGACATACTATGTACAAAACAAAAGACAAGGAAACAAAAAATTGTGGAATATACACACCTATAAACTATTGAAAACAAGTGCATTTATCATGGTTACAGCTGTAGGCCAATACGCAAAATTCAACTATTTCATCAACGAAAATGCAAGATTTGAGTATTTTTAAAATGCTGTTTAAAGTAACGTCAAAAATCCATAGAGTATCTACAAATAAATCTAATAAAAAAAAGCCTCCTCTATAAATCTATATAATACTGCTGGGAGAAATTAAAGACTCAAATTCTCACAGACACAGACATATATGTGTGTATATATATACACACACACACACACACACACATATACACATCGATATATATGTATACAATATATAAACATATGCAGACATATATGTGAGTGTATATATATTTATGGATTAGAAGGCTCACTATTTTTATGATATAAAAATAGTCTCTCCAAATAGATCTACAAATTTAATACAATGCATGTACATCAAAATTCGAGCAAGTATTGATGTCTACTTCATGTTTTATCAAATTTTTTGATGTTTCATTTTTGATATTTCTCTATTACTGTATTTTCAAGGTCATTCCTCTTCTGCAGTGCCTAATATTTTATTAATCTCACTCAGTATATTTTTCATCTTAGGTCATATAATTTTCATGTATTTCAGATTCTGCAGTTTTTATTTTTACAAATATATAATATGCTCATGCTTTTTCTACCTTATTAAACACCTGAACTGCAGTCCAGGTGTCCTCATCTTGTGTTTCTGTATGCCTTTTAATTGGTATAGGTACCTAGATATTGTGAATCTCAACTCATTTGGTGTTAGATAATCTTGTATTTTGCAAAAATATTCTTAAGCAGGTTAACAAAATGATCAGATCTGCATTTTGAAAATGTAAATGATAAATTTAGTAAAGAAGCAAATGAAAAAAAATTACTGGCATAATGAAGCTCACTTAGAAAACTGTAGTAACTCAGAAGAGAAATGATGAGTTAATCAGCACAATGCTTACCAAATGGTAACAACTGGATAATTTTTTGTTGTGTCACACGGATTCTTGTTTAATGCATAGGAGTTAGCTATTTACACTACCCTTTTGGTTTACAGAATATTTTATATTGGAAAGCAATTCTATGCTGAAGGAAGCTATCCTGAAGAAGAAAATAGTAAAGCCGGAAGTTAAAATCCTTCATATTGACGACTATGGTAAAGTTTTGTGCATGCTATGTTATTCAAGAACAACTTTCTCTGCGTCTTATAGTTTTACCTGTAAATGACTCTCCATCTTTAATGTTTTGCTCTTTCTTTAAAAGAACTTCCTTTACAGTTGTCCCTTCCCAAAGATTTTATGGACCGAAACCAGTATGCTCTTCTGTTAATAATGTAAGTATTTTATTTGTTTTTGAAATAAAGGAATATAAAGATTTTCTATTTTTATGTCTCACAAGACAACATTTGATTCAATAAACAAGAGAAGTCCAATGTGTGTAGTTAACCAGGGCAGCTGTCTATTGTCTAAATTCCTCTAGAAGTCCATCACTAAATCATGTGTAAGAATGTGTAGATTTTTTGAACTTCTTGCATCCCACATGGAGTTTGGTGCTACCACCAGGAATAGTGACACAGAATAGTTTGATTTCTGGGTGTCTGCTTAGTAATTACTCAAGTCCTGGGCTCTTTATCAACATTGAGGAACATGTAATTCCACTGCTAAAACAATGGGTTATGTTTGTATCAGTCCTGTCAGCTTTTCCTCCTGGATACATGGCCTGCAGTAAGCTGCTCCCATGCTCAGATAACTTGACTCAAGTTTTTTTTTTTTTTTTAATCTTGAAATTGACTTTGAAATTAAATATCTTTATACATGTTGTAAGGCTATATCATGACTGTATAGTATTATGCACCAAGGCCCCTAATATCTAATACATAACTAACTTGATATTGATTTAGCATTGCATTCCTGAGAGTTATAAGTTATTTCCCTTATTAATATGCTCAGGTTGCATATTGATATAATAGTGCTTAAAATTGTCTAAAATTATATCTTTAGATATAATATTTAGAAATAGTAAATACGAAAATAATATTGCTTATTATGATCACTGAATATAGTGGATAAGTATTCAGTCTGTGGAATCGAATTTCCTGGGTTCAAATTCTAGTTTTGCCATTTCTTAGCTGTGTGTCCTAGGGCAAGTTCCTTAACCTCTTACAAGGCTAAGTTTATCTAAACATAAAACAAGCATTACAATACAACATGTGTTCTAAGACTGCCTTGCAGATGGGGTGAAATACAACATATAAAGTCCCTTAAACAGTGCCTAACATATATGATTCTTATAATTATTGGGGTTATCATTCTTTTTTGTATAGGTAGCATTTATTTTATTTAGGTATTTTAATATATGCAAGCAATTTGTCCCTTTATTTTAACAAACCACATAATACAGAAATAATATAATATTTAATTTTCTCTCTGACTCCAGTATTCATTTCTAATTCTAATTATTGAGCTTTTCATGTTTCTCATATCCAAACTTTTCTCCTTCCTCCGTAAGAGCCAGAAAGTTCTGAAAGTTCTTAATGTCTCTCTAAGGAAGTTCTTATTTGATGTTTCTTAATTGCATTTTTTTCTCGTCTTTTTTACCTGTTTTTTCCTACTCCATTTTAACTGTATGTATGATTTATTGAGGAAAAATGTTTAAGGCACTAAAACGAGACAAAAAGAAAACAAAAATCAACCCCATCTTCTATCTTAGTGACGTCTCCCTTTGATAAAAGGAAATGCTCTTTTGATTCACTGAAAAATTTTCTCAAGGAAAGAGACATCCCTCAGGCACATCCTAGGCATCCCTCAGTATGTGATGACCTTCAAATTGGAAGATAAAAGAACTGACTGCCCTTGAAGCATGACATTTATGCAGACGAATGTGTAGATAATTATGCTGACTTGGTATCCACTTGCTCTAGGGCAGTGTCACACATAGGGGGAAGACCAAACAACAGTTAACAGAATCTCTTTGTTTTCTGAAACAAATAAGCTAACTGGCTCATCTTGGCATCAGACTTGTGTTTTGTTCTGGTTGATTTTTAGTTTATAAGAGGAATATAAGGACCTACACAAGAAACCAATTTGAAGACTTGTCTTATTGTCAAGGCCTACTTGGGTCTTTTTTGAGAAGTAGGATTTTGGACCAAAATGCTGGTTTTGGAGTCAGGTAGGACTGGGTTCAAATTGGAGCGCTGAGATTTAACAACACATTGCTAATTTTCTAATCTTCTCTTACCTTACAAATAAACTGGAGAAAATAACATGGGATAATATTTATATTTAAATATATTACCATAGTGTTTGGTAGAGCATAAACACTTACAAATAGTCTTTAATAAATCATAAGCAGAATCATAATTATTATTAGGATGGTACAAAAGTAATTGCAGTTATGATATAAGTAGTTGCATTACTTATAAATGGCCAAAACTGCAATTGCTTCTGTGCCAAACTAATATGGAAATAGTATTTTAAAGTATTTAATTTGATTAATATAAATATTTAATGTGTAACTTAATGCCCATAAAGTTGTTCAATAGACAGACACTACTAAAACAGATAAAATAGTGCAGTCAGACCCATAGAATTTACTTTGCTACTTTTTTGGTTGATACAGGAAGAATGAAAATGAATATTAAGTCGTTTCTAGTTATTTCAGTGTATATTGTTTATACTAAATATTAATTGACATTATCCACACTTTTGGATTTTAGAGGAAAATTATCAAAAAGCTTTGCAGAATGTGGCTTACAAAATCCAAAATGAGGATT